CATAGCAGTGCCAGGCCAGACACCTGAGCGGCATCCTTGGGGGTAGATGAGCTGTGGTGGAAAATGGGCACAGGTGGCTGGTGAGGAGGCTAGAATGGTAGGCCGTGGCCAGGTGAGGGTGGTCCCAGTGTCTCAGAGGGTGAAGCTGCCGCTTGTAGCAGAGCTGGAGAAGGTCTGTGAGCAGAGCATTGACACATTCGGGTCAAGAGCGTGGACACCGCTTTGAAGGCCATCTCGTAACGCCTGGAAACTTGGCATCGGGGCGGCTCATTTAGAATTTATGGGAGGCGCTCTCACTGTGGCTCTCGAGTGGGGAGTCTTCCACCCCTTGGTCCTTTGAACAGGGCGGACGGTTTTTACGAGGTGTATTTCCTGTGGGATCAGGGGCCAGATTTAGGGGTGCTTTTTTCCCTGACACCTGTTGCTGCTGGTCAGAGTGAGAAGGGATAGTTCACCGACCTGTGGGCCCTGCTTTGCTTTATACCCGGGTCCCAGCTCCTGTCTGGGGCAGAGTTTCTAGGGGACACACGACTATTTTGGAAGTTATTCAACATGCCTTTACTTTTTACAACAAAGAGTGTAGAAAATAAAGGGACTTAAAGAAATAAACACGGATGCTGAGGCACAGAAGATAGGCTGAGAAATAACTGGGGAGGGGAAACTGGAGGTGAGGTTCTAAAAAGTGGAAAAACAATGCTCTAATCAATCCTATACAATAAAAGGCCAAGATGCCAATTGCCCCCTCGAGTAGGAATCCGACTGAGAATTCAACCTGGATGTCGACCAGGGAGCAGGGACCAGCCGGCCAACCACCCATAGTCCCTCCCCCCGCTGGCCTGGCCCAATCGGCCTCAGTTGGGGTGGGCAGGCCGGACACCACCTGTGCATGAATTCATGCACCGGGCCTCTAGTATAAAATAACCTATAAGTAAAGTCGGTGCTGCTGAGTTGTGGGGGTCAATCAAGAAAGCACATTAAATTCTGGGGCCAGCAGGGACTTCATACATGATGCCTGCTGCCCTGTTAGGAGGCCCTTCTGATGTTGAAGTTCACCATTTGCTGGCTGTGTGGCACTGGATGAGTTGGTTAACCTCTCTGGGCCTTTGGTGACCGCTGTGGTCCGTTTCCATGCTGCTACCCACCGCCAGCTGGCTGGAGGGCTCCATGTATCTCATCTGCTCTGGGCAGAGCATGGCAGCCCTATAGCTGGAAAACTAACTCCTGTTTATTTTTGTTTGTTTTTTTAAATGTGTTGATTTTTTTACAGAAAGGAAGGGAGAGGGATAGAATTAGAAACATTGATGAGAGAGAAACATTGACCAGCTGCCTCCTGCACACCTCCTACTAGGGATGTGCCTGTAACCGAGGTACATGCCCTTGACCGGAATCAAACCTGGGACCTCTCAGTCTGCAGGCCGACGCTCTGTCCATTGAGCCAAACCAGTCAGGGCGAAAATTAACTCTTGTTAATTTTTAAGGCAGCCTAGGAGTCTTCACTTAAAGATTCCTCAGGACCTCGAACTGATGAACTTTTTACAGCAGTTTGAGCTGGATTCCACCTCCATCGCATTCAATTTTGGTTTAAACCAACTCTTACACATTCTCCTTGCCTTTGTCATCCTGGCAGCTCAGAGGGAGGTGAGGGGAAGGAAAGTGCCTGAGGGTGGGCCATCCCTGCAGCAGGGGTGAGGGTGAGGATTCCTGCAGTGAAGCACCGGGTGGGGGAGAGGCTGCGTAGGGGAGGGGCGGGGAAGGGGAGAGGCAGGAAGGGGAGCCTCCTCACCTGGCTGCCAGGCCTCTGTGTTGCTTGGGTTTCAGATTTGGAACCAGATTTTAGGTCACCTTCTTAAAGCTAGAAAATCATTCCAGCGGGTCAGATTTCTCTGAGCGCCTTCCCTAAGATGATCTCTACTCGGGTTTAATAAAATATTTAGAGCCCGATTGCATTTCGCTTGCAGCTGCTGTTAGCGATGCTCCTGAGGTTGGCAGGTTATACAGTCCCCAGGTGCCTGCGAGGGCTGTCACAAAGCCCAACTCTAGCATCCTAGGTAAGAAGAGTTAACTAAAAGGTTACTATTTAGCCCAGAAGGGGCAGGTTTCAAAAAAGTTTATACTTTGGCCCTAAATCCGTTTGCATTCACTCCTCCCTCCGCCGAATAAAACCCGTGCTACCTTCTTGGTGTTTGTCGAACTGCAAGCCAGTTCCTTGCCATGGATTTAAAACAAAACAACCCTGAGATTTTTCAGCAAATGAACGTCTTCTGTCATTGCACGAGCTTTTTCTCCAATGGAAGTGAGAACAGAGGCACAGCGTCCCAAAGTGGCCTGCATGCAACCTCTTATGAGCCCCATAAATTATAATGTTATGAAATATTGCTCTGTGTGTGTGTGTGTGTGTGTGTGTGTGTGTGTGTGTGTGTGTGTTACCAATTCAAGGATCACGTGCCTGGTATTTCATAAAGGCCAGTATTCACAACATCAGAGTTTGGAGTTAGGAAAAGTTTGTTGATCAAGAAGGCTCCAGCTTGGCCCTAACCGGTTTGGCTCAGTGGATAGAGCGTCAGTCTATAGACTGAAGGGTCGGTCCCAGGTTCGATTCCGGTGAAGGGCATGTACCTTGGTCGTGGCAGCACATCCCCAGTAAGGGTTGCGCAGGAGGCCAGCTGATCGATGTTTCTCCCTCATCGATGTTTCTAACTCTCTATCCTTTTCCCTTCCTCTTTGAAAAAAAAAAAAATCAGTAAAAAAAATATATAAAAGGCTCCAGCTTGAGAAGATGGGAGGGAGTTGCCTTAAAGCGTCTGCAAATCCATCCTAAGAGAGCCTAGAATTCAGGCTTCTTTTATGTCAAGGGAAGGGAGAATGGGCAGGGCAAGAGTGTGTGACACCTGGGCACCAGCAGGGATCCAAGGAAGAGTGTGAAATTTGTAAATCTCCTAGTTCCCTGGTCCCTTGGCCCCTGCTGATCAGTGTCTGGTCTTGAGGCTCCTGCAAATCTTTGCAGAAAGCTCAGCCTCAAGCACAATTCCTCTGTCATTAGCACATCACATCAATAGCAAGAGCTACTTCCCTGAAGGCCTGGAAGAAATGCAGGATAGAATTAAGATAAAATCAGAGAGAGGGAGCATTTCACTCTGTCACATGTGCCTCAGTAATAGTAGAGGTCCTTTGGGCGTGGATTAAAAACCTCTGTCACTCTAGTTTTCATGGTATGGAATCTGGTCGCAAAGCCTTAGAATTTAGGCCATTTGGAGAGGAGGAGGGGGAGGGCGAGGGCTGTGCCATCATGAAACTACCAGCTCAGACTGTTGTTTAGTGATTGTACCCATAGGTGCTTTCTGAAGGGTCCCTCTCTGTCCCTGGGGCTGGGTCTCTATGGTTTGTGAGGTCTCTATGGTGTGTGATTCCTGTTGGTCTTGGTGGTGATAACTTTAGTGGCTGCGCTGCTGACCCATTTTAGTTTGCTCAGTTTGTATGAGGCCAGATCCCTGCCCACTTAGTGCCTTTTCCCGCCTCTAAGTATGTCACACACAATGTCAAGGCCTTGCAGAAATTTGAGGTCACCTGCGCCTCGCTCACCCACTCAGAGCTTTGCAGCCTCTTCCCTGGAACTGGGAAATGAAACTGGGTGGTGCTGAGTGCTGTGTGGGTTGAACTTGGCAAAACCAACATCCCTTTGTGCCTGATATGCAGGCGCAGTTTTGAAGCTGCTTGTTTAGATGGGTCATCGGTAGTCTCATGGTCATTTGTATTCTTTTTAAAAATTAAACTTACTGGGGTAACTTTGGTTAATAACGTCATATGAATTCCAGGTGTACAGCTTCAGAACCCAGTACCTGTATATTCCATTATATGCTCACCGCCTGAAGCCCAGTCTCCTGTCACCATGTGTCTGACGCCCTTTACCCTCTTCATCCTCCCCCCACTCCCTTTCCCTCTGGTAGCCAACATTCCGTTGCCTGTATCTGTGAGTTTGTTTTATTTGTGCATTTGTTGCTTTTTGGTTTTATATTTCACCTAATCGAAATGGTTCCTGTCCTTTTCTGCCTGACTTGGAGTGACACTCTGAAGATGCACCCATGTTGTCACAAATGGCAGCATCTCACCTTTTTCATGGCAGAGTAGTATTCCATTGTGTATATGTACCACAGCTTCTTTATCCAATCATCTGTCGAAGGACATTTAGTTTTTTTGTTTTGTTTTGTTTTGTTTTCTATGCCTTGGCTACTGTAAATAATGAACAGAGGGTACATATATCTTTACAGACAAGGGTTGTCAGATTTTTCCGGCAGGTACACAGAAGAGGGATTGCTAAAGTCTTATGGCAGCTGTAATCTTAATTTTTTTTGACTACTCATTTTTTTTTTTTTGCCCTCCTCCTTCCCTCCCATACATCCCCTCCCTCCCCAGAGTTTTATGTCCATTGGTTGTACTTATATGCATGTATAAAAGTCCTTCGGTTGATCTATTATCTCCCCCAGATCTTCCTCCCCTCCCCACTGTAATTTGACAGTCTGCTTGTTGATTTACTGTCTCTATATCTATATTTTGGTTCATCAGTTTATAATGTTCTTTATTATCCACAAATGAGTGAGGTCATGTGGTGTTTCTCTTTCATTGATTGGCATATTTCACTCAGCATGATGTTCTCCAATTCCATCCAGGTTGTTGCAAATGATGAGAATTCCTTCTTTTTTATGGCAGCATAGTATTCCATTGTGTAGATGTACCATAGTTTTTGGATCCAATCATCTGCTGATGGGCACCTAGGCTGTTTCCAAATTCTGGCTATTATAGATTGTGCTGCTATGAACATAGGGGTGCATATATCCTTTCTGATTGGTGTTTCTAGTTTCTTGGTGTAATCTTAAATTTTTAAGGAACCTGAATTTCTGTAGTGGCTGCGCCAATTTACATTCGCACCCGGGTTCCCTTTTCTCTACGTCCTCACTAACACCTGTTATTTCTTGTCTGATCATTGTCATTTTTATTTCTTGCAGTTTTATGTGCTGAAAGAGTTGGCCAGATGACTAAGACATACAATGACATTGACGCTGTCACTCGGCTTCTTGAGGAGGTAAGTGTTTCCGGGGAAGGGAAAGGGTCACTTATAATTTTTAAAATATTTTTTTATTTTTTAAAAATATCTTTATTGATTACTGTATCACATATTTGTCCTCATCCCCCCATTCCCATCACACACCCCTCCCCACATATGTCCCATCCCCCTTGTTTTCCTTGACCACTGGTTAGGCTCATACGTTTGCACACAAGTCCTTTGGTTGATCTCTCTCCTTTATCCCCACCCTTTCCACCCTCCCTCTGAGGTCCGACAGTCTGATCCATGCCTCCTTGTCTCTGGGTCTGTTCTTGTTCATCAGTCTATGTTATTCACCATTTTCCCTAGATGAGTGAGATCATGTCCTACTAGAAATACACTTATAAGAACCGAAAATAAGACAAGCAATAATGGTTATGCTGAGAGGCAAATGAATCAGTCTGTAGTGAGTTTCTTTCTGGGCCACCAGTTCTTTTGAGACCCAATGTCAATGTCAAACAGTTCCTTATGTGTACATGTCAGCCATGATATTTCAGTTCTGGATGGTACAGGGTCACTTATAATTGACCGATTATAATTTATATTGATTAAAGCATGCATTATGATAAGTCTCCATGCAGAATCTTCTAAATGGGGCCTTCTCAGGGGATCACTCGGTGGCTTTATTTTTTGTATCGATAACTTTGTAGTTCTTTGTGGCCGTAAGTTTACTTATGGTAGTTTAGGTTTTACAATGAATGTGCTAGTATGAATGATACAGAATTGGGTAAACATGGAAATATTAATACTTGCTAGAATACCCAGTTTCAGATTTCTAAAAACCCTTAAAGTATGTTCCCACAATATGTTTTCAGTTGTATCCAAAAAATATCAGAAAAGATATCATCATGACCCATATCTTTGTAACGTGTTCTTTTTTTACTTACATCAGGTTAAGGGGATATTGTTAGGTAGTGTCATGTGGCGATCACCAAAATAAGCATGGCAGGAAGAACTTAGGAAAACTCAACGTAGGTTCACACCAGCTGCTGGCATGTTGGAGACACGGTCTTGTCCGTTTCTTCTGGCACTCAGATGAATGTAATGTGTGTATTCCCATGCCTAGAACAGGCCAGACATGTAGGTGCTTAGGATGTGTGTGTTGAGTAAGTGCCCATCTTTAAATATTACCATCCCTCCTCCCCTACCCCCAAACCAGGCCTTTAAGGCACCTGTAGACCCTTGTTTCTGCTCTGGAATCGAGAATGAGTTGGGGTCATGTGACTACTCCTTAGCCCTTCTCCAGGAAAAGAATAGAAGGGTGTGGGAGACACAGGAATCTTCCCCCCCCCAATCTTTAATTTCTTTATTGATTAAGGTATTACATATGTGACCTTATTCCCCCATTAACGTCACAACTCCCTCCTCCTACTCATGCCCTCACCCTCCTGTTGAGACACAGGAATCTTTGTCGTCATTTTCAGCCACTAGCAGGACAAGGTGGAGACACAAGACCAAGTAGCAGTAGTGAGAACCAGAATTTTTTTTTTGGTGGGGGGGGGTGGGCATCTTTTTACCCCAGTTTTTGCTTCTCCTTCCCTGTGTTTTTCCCTTCTGCACATCCAGCATCTCCTATCTGCTCTGAGAATCTGAGATGGGTTCCCTCTGGGTTCCTGAGGAATCACCTCCCCTGCGACCCCTCTCCCCCTTTCTCCTGTGGGCCACCCACTCACAGGCCCAGGCGGGTGGCGTGGGGGCAGGAGCCGAGACCTGCTTTACCCCATGCGAGGCAGAGAAGGTACAAACTCAGCCCCCAGTGAGTGGTATTAGGGGTTTTGGCTGTGACAGGGCTGGCGGTGAGGCATGGTAGGGCACGGGCTTTCTGGGGGTGCTCCAGTCACCGCCACTTTGGTGGCTGGTGTTGGCCAAGTGGGAGGCTTTTGGAAATGGTCTGTTACAGAGCCCTCTCTGCTGTGTCCATTTCCCCGAGAATGCCAGCACTCACGATCCTCTCCAGATCCGGGGTGTTTCCAGCCACTGCTCCTCGCCCCATTCCCAGTGAGTTTCCAAGTCTGTCCAGTCAGGAACCTGGGTCTGAGGGGAGCAGAGGTACCCTGGACGGCAGGGCTGCTCTCCAGCCCCGGCCCCTCCCACAGGGGGTGTGACTATTGCTTTGGCTGTCAGGTTCAGGGCTCTGAGAATGTAGTTTTGGGGAACGTGGTTAGTGGGGCGTTTTTACTTTAAAACCATGAGCTGAGGGATGTGTTTCAGGGGGTGGCCCCTGCCCGCAGGCTTGGCTCTGGCGCAGTGTGAGCTGGCAGTGCCGGGGGGGCCCCCATCAGTGACATCCGCTCCGCTCTGGCTTTCTTCCCAAGGAGCCTGGGGCTCCAGCCCTGTATGGAGATGCTGGTCAAAAGCAGTTCACTTCCACCCTGACCGGTTTGTCTCAGTGGATAAAGCATCGACCTTTGGACTGAAAGATCCCAGGTTCGATTCCGGTCAAGGGCATATGCCTTGGTTGGGGGCACATCCCCAGGTGGAGGTGTGCAGGAGGCAGCTGATGGATGTTTCTCTCTCTAACTCTCTCTCCCTCTCCCTTCCTCTCGGTAAAAAATCAATAAAATAAATTTAAAAAAAAAAAAAAAGTAGCTCACTTCCCCTGGCGAATTTCCTAACTGTGTGTCAGTGCGAGGAGAGCTTGCTGTGGTCCGTGTAATCACCGAGTTCCTGAAGAGAACGCGGTGGGCCGTTTTCCAGGCGGCTGTGGTGCCGCCTGGGTTAACGGGTGGTGGCTCTAGGCCGGAGGACGTGCGTCTCGGAGCGTTTCGTCCCTGGGGCTCTTCCCCGGCCTGATGAGAATCACGGCTGAGCGCCGCCTTTCTGTGGAAGAGGCGTGTCTCCTGGTGAACACCTCACTGCCCAGGCATGTGACCTTGTGAGCTTGTCTTGGCTTTGGTTCCCTCCCCTCCCACCGCGATCGTTGGCTTTGGTTTGCTCGCCCGCCGCATGCAGGTGGGGTGCTGGGAGGTGGAGGCGGGGAGGAGGGTGCACAGGGCCTGGAGCACGGCCAGTGTGGGGCGTTTGCGTCTGGGTGTGCAGGGGACCGGATTCGCAGTGTGCCTGGCTTGCTGCTGTTGGGAATTTAGCTCCGGGCAAAGCTTGTCTCCTCCCTGGAGGGTTATTCCCGGGGCTCCTTAGTCTCAATTTTCATCCTAAAATTGGTGAATGGGGTGCGTTGAGCTGCCTGGTGTGGGGGGCAGGGTGCTCTCCAGCTCCAGGGTTGTGTTCGTTGGTGACAGGGGCTGAGACACAAGTCACGGTGTTTTTAAACAAAGCCCGGCTGGGAAGAGGGAGGGAGCAGTTGGAGGAGTCCACCCAGCCACCTTTCCCGGGGACTGAGAGAACCCATTCTGTGAGAGCGTATTTCCGGTTACTCAGCTGCAGTCTTGTCTTCTCGCCGTGTTTGAATCCACTGGCCATTTCCTAGCTGCTTCCCTGGATTCAGAAGTAAACGTTGCTGGCTGGTGGAAGAAATGGGAAGTTTTTCCGTTCTTAGAATTCTCCTCGAGACACTCAGCCAGCCTGCCACCTTAGGCAAGAGAAGCCAGAGGCACTGCATACAGTACCTTTTTGGTTGTTGTATTCATTTCGTCCATAACTGTTTTTTTACTATAGTGTCCTGCCTTTTATTCCCTCTCCCTTCCCTCCCCCCGGCAGTTTTCTTTATGTTCCTATACGGATTAGGTTTTTGGTGCAGAGGAGGTGAGAGAGGGCTCCGGCCAGTGGGGCAGGGCCAGGGGAGGACTGGCGTGTAATGCCGAGGGCGAGGGGCGTGGTTGTTGAGCTCCCGCCCACTCACTCTTCTTCCCTTTCCTGTTTCCCGGTCCTCCTGGGCCCTGGCCTCCCTCCCTGCTCTAGCACTGCCTTTCCCAGCCGGTCTTCCTTGTTACCGTTTCTGCTTGACTTGTTTGCAGTGGAATGTGCATACACAATGTGGCTGAGGCTTAGCCAGTGCCTGTGCTTGTTGGAACTCTGCAGCTCGGAGGTATGTCCACCGTCTAGGGTTCTTCTGGCTGGCCTCGTAACCAAATAGACGTGAGACCGGTCAGCAAGAGAAAATAACCCAGGCGAATACCGACATACTTACGGGAACCCCCCATACATGAGGGAGTCCGAGACCCCACGTGCAGGAGAGGATTAGAGACAGACAGGGATCGTGGACATATAAGGCATCCTGGGCCAGGATGAGGGAGGGGGACTTGGAGCTTCCAAGGGCCATTGTAGGGTGAGGAAGAAGAGCAGACGCCTCGTAAATAGAAGTTTGTCCTGCACTGAGTTGTGTCAGAAGAGGTTATCGCTCCTAATCTTTTACTGTGGGCAGTGACCCAACTGTAAGTTCTAGATAGTTAAGGGAGGGGCAGGAGTTGCCTTTAGCACAAAACAATCTGCATACTGCAAAGGCACATCTTGGGATGACTCGTTCTGAACCCCTAGAGTGGCATGATGGGGATGCAGAACGGTGAGGCAGCGAGCCGACGGGTATTAAGCCCATTGGGTACAAGTCTGAGGACTTGCTCTAGCAGTGAAATCGAGTGGACTTGAGTGAACTAGGTGGAGACCACATTTCCAAGGGGAAATGGACGTTGTGTTGTAGTTTTAGCTGAGCGCTAGCCGGCGGAAACCACGTGGACTAGGTGTGCAGGGTCCCTCACACAATCCCTTTGGGTCCTGTCCTCCAGATACCAAACAGGCACCACTGTTGAGTCTGAGAAGTGATCCAGGGCCATGGAGCTAGGACCCTCCTTGGTAGACACTGTAGCTGGTGGATGCCTACACAGAGATGAGCTTCTCGGCTGAGTGAGCAGACTCACTGCCACCTTTGTGCCATGGGAGGGAGGGCTGGGGAGACACAAATTTGTGGGAATGAGCTGGGGGTATTTACGGCTCACTGGACGTGACACCCAGTTGGCTTCTGGGACAGTGGAGACAGCAGTTACAGGCCTTTGCACTGTCGAAAACCTAGTTGCGGGGGGGGGGGGGGGGGGGCAAGGGTAGGGAGGGCCAAATCCCTGACAATCCAGAGTCTTTCCAAATTACACTCTGACCTCCAGGCATTCAGTGGAACATCTATGATAAACCAAGGGAAGGCGTGCTACTTTTGCTTGGAGGAGTTCGGTGGATGTGAAAGAAGTTAGAAATAAAAGCTACTGTTTTTATTTATTTACTAGAGGCCCAGTGCATGGACTCATGTACCAGTGGGTCCCTTGGCCTGGCCTGCGGGGATCAGGCCGAAACCGGCAGTCCAACATCCCTCGAGGGGTCCTGGATTTCAGAGGGCGCAGGCCAGGCCAAGGGATCCCACCGGTGCTAGAATCCGTGCACTGGGTCTCTAGTATGCATATAAGATTGTTGGCTACTCTCTTCCCACCCTCCCTCTTTCCCCTTCCCCGCTTTCCTCTGAGATTCTCCAGTCTGTTCCACGTTTTCATGTCTGTGGTTTCTGCTCCTGTGTTGTCTGCCCCCTGGTGGTCAGTGCTCATCACAGCTACCAGCCAATCGGCTGGTCACTTAGGCTTTTATATAGAGAGATTTTTTTAATGATACAAGTCAATGAATCATTACGCTGGAAGATTTTTTTTCAAAGGTATCTTCAGCTAGTCTTCCCCTCTGCCCTCCTCCATCTGACAGACAACCAGGTCCAGGGATGGTCCATCAGAACCCGAACTCTCACAGTTTCAGAGTTGAACAGTTCCCCTGCAGCAGGTAAACTTTGGACCTGTACCCGCTGTAAGAAATGCTTACATTTAGATTATGACCCAGTACTCACATAAGTAAATACATGACAAGCAAAAGTATATGTGTGAAATCGTACCCTTATCACGTGGACTGCCCTTTGCTTTTTTCATTTCTGTGCTGTTGAATTTTATTGTAGTTGGCTGCCACTACGACAAAATGATTCTCAACCTGCTCAAGTGTTTTATTGACTGAAAGCTAACCTGGAGTGTGCCTGACATTGACCTGAGGCCGCGTAGTTAGCTAATAGCCAATCAGAATCTATGACTGACTCCTGCCCAGATTTTTTTTTTCCTGATCTTAACTACATGAACCTAAAAATAAAAGGCTTTTCAAAGTGAGAGGAAACAAGCATTTACTTGAGAATAAAAATTAAAAAACAAGCACCACACGAAGAAGAATAGCTATTCAGGAAGCATTGATTTAGGCAGAAACCTAAATAATGTCCCAGTTTAGGGGTATTTATGAGACATGGGGACAGTTCCATTCGTTGAATGAAGATATTTTTATCGGTGCAGGAAAGCTAACAGACGGATGTTTATTCTAAAGAAGGGTTTGAACTTCCAGTCCAGGTGTCTGTCAGACCTGTCATCATATCTGCTTGCTTGTTATCCTGTGAGCAGTTCGTTGGGGCATGAAGTTCCCTAGGCTCATCCTGAAGGGGACAGTGCCCTGCTTTAACATCTCAGAGATCTGAGGCGTGAGGCGTGCGAGGCAGTTCCTCTGGGGTGGCTGCTCTGGCTCCGTTGATGTTGCCACTCCGCATGCTTCCACTCCCCTGCTCTTCACACCAGGTGAACAGAATAATTAGCACAGGCTTCTGGAATTAACTTCGTTCCCAGAGGCCTCCTCCCTGTGCCCACTGCCACCTACACATGAGCGAGTTGAGTCTAACCCCGTGGCCAACAGCCCCTCCAGCGGGCTCAGGGAGTCTGTGTCTGGTGATGGCGGCCGCCCACTGTCTCCACTGACCAGGGACAGCTTCCGCCCGGAAAGGCAGGTGCCCCTGGACAGGCCCCGCAGGTTTTCCTCGGTGCCCTGCTCTGCTCTGAGCGATGTCACCCACTGAACCAACAGAAGTGTCTGTGTCAGGGACACACCTCTGACTCTGATGGAGGGCAACTTTTATGCTTTATTGCTCCATCCTGAAAGTATTTTAGAAAAATAAAGCCTCGCCTGGCCAGTGTGGCTCAGGGGTGGTTGAGCATTGACCTATGATTCAGGAGGTCATGGTTCCATACCCAGGTTCCGGCTCCATCCCCAGTGGATGTGCAGGAGGCAGCCGATCAATGATTCTCTCTCATCATTGATGTTTCTCTCTCTCTCTCCCCCTCTCCCTTCCTTTCTGAAATAATTATATATAAAACATAAAGCCCAAGTCGTCTTCCGTAAAGTAAAAGAAACGTATTGCTGTATTTCAGGGTATCCAGAGACATTTTTGAGTCATAGGAGGCAAATACAAGGCACTGGGTCGATTCCAGCTTAACGTGTGCCGAAGAGGCCGCCTCCCGGAACATGGCTCTCTCATAGAAACTCTCTGGGATTTCTGCGTTCGTTCATTCACCCAGCAGCTGGCCACTGGGTGTTTCCATGTGCTGGCACCTGGCAGTGCCGGGAGCCCAGCCCTCAGGCCTCCCGGAGAGATGGTGATCCGGTGACCACACGAATACCCAAAGCAGTTGCAGAGAAATGATTCGGAAGCAGGTTTTTCCTGTTGGAGCAGACACTTGTGTTCATCTGAGGTCAAGGTTTCCTTCCAGGGCTGGGGTCTGCGTAGCTCCTGCACGTTACGTGGGCACAGTGTACACCTCTTTGAGCGGGTGTCCGGTGCTGGTGAACGGCTGGTGAATCATTAATCCCTTGGTTCTTTCTAAATGCCCTTGTTGTCCTCCATTGGCACGGAGCTCCGTGGGCTCCTTCAGGAAGCCGGAGTTAGTTTGTTTTTTAATCTCTGCTCTCCCTCTGCCTTCCACAGAAAGAGCGGGATTTAGAATTGGCTGCTCGGATTGGCCAGTCGTTGTTGAAGAAGAACAAGACCCTCACCGAGAGGAACGAGCTGCTGGAGGAGCAGGTGGAGCACATCCGGGAGGAGGTGAGGAGCCGGGGCGGCGGGGCCACAGGCGAGGTCCAGGGTGAGGGGAAGGGTCCCATTCGGAAAGGCCCTCGAGGGCTCGCCCAAGCCCTGAGCCCAGAGCTGCCTGCTCTCGAGTGGCCACCCAGACACACAACACTCCTGTTCACTGTGCCTCCTCCCGCCATGGGCCTCGTCTCCCATGTGGTACGATGATCCATGTCTCTGGGCATTTGCCCAGCTGCTTACTTGCTAAGCTATCTAGACATCATTCTAGAAACTTCTAGTCCCCTCTCACCTCTTCCCAATACCAAAGTAAAAATTGTAAATTAAGGCAGAGGGATTTTTTTTATTTTATTTTATTATTATTATTTTTTTTTTTTGTCAAAGAGTAATTCATTGTATTTTTCTCAAAGAGGATGAAACTGAACTGTTTGTTTTCTTCGAATAGAACAAAATCATTTACAGGCCTTCACTTATGAGGAGGATCAATGGTTTTTTAAAATAATTTTTTTATTGAGATCAGAGAGGAAGGGAGAGGGAAAGAGAGACAAAAACATCAACGATGAGGGAGAATCATTGATGGGCTGCCTCCCGCACGCCCCCTACTGGGGACCGAGCCTGCCACCTGGGCATGTGCCCTGACCAGAAATCAAGCCGTGACCTTCTGGGTTCAGGTCGACGCCCAGCCACTGCGCCACGCTGGCCGGGCTAAGGAGGAACGTTTAAAGCCTGTCCCTGAGAGGGGGACACGGTTCTGTGTGGGGGTGAGTGATGGGCCCGGCTCTGTTTGTGCAGGTGTCTCAGCTCCGGCATGAGCTGTCCATGAAGGATGAGCTGCTCCAGTTCTACACCAGTGCCGCGGAGGAGAGCGAGCCCGAGTCTGTGTGCTCCACCCCGTAAGTCCCTGGCGTCGGGGTCACAGCGTGGGCTGGCTGCCGTCCGCGGCCCTGGGGCTGCCTGGGCAGGGCCGGCCACCTTCCCCAGCAGCGCCGGTCAGCCGCTCCGGCCTCCTCCGGCCAGGCACCTCCCAGTGCCTGGCACAGAGCGTCTCACCGTTTTAGTGGGATGTGGAAGGACAGGTTTTTTGCTTTCCTCTTCCTGGGTCTCCTTGTTCCTTGGCCAGTTGAGACTGACGTGGCCTGGCATGTTGGCAGGTGACAGGGTGGGCTCTGCTGTTAGTAGGTGACAGGGTGGGGGGACCTTGGGGACAGGAGGTGTGGGGGCTTCTGTGAGAGCCTGCAGAGCCTCGTGGTAGTGGCGTGAACTCCAAAGCCTGATGGTCCGCATTCGCTTCTCGACCCTGTGGCTTCCTAGCTGTGTGTTCTCGGCTGAGCTACTTCGCCTCTCTGTGCTTGTTTCCTAATCCCTCGCCTCCATCCCAGGTTGAAGAGGAATGAATCGTCGTCCTCCGTCCAGAATTACTTCCATCTGGATTCTCTGCAGAAGAAGCTGAAGGACCTGGAGGAGGAGAACGTTGTACTGCGATCCGAGGTGACAGGCGCACCCTGCTCTGGTTCGCACGGAGGGCGGCGGCCCCGTTCACCTTATCTGCCCTTCTCGGAGGGTCTCTGTTAAGAACCACCCGGACCTCGGCTCATTCCTGTGCCGGGTGTTGCCTCCTCGGGCTGGGGCGGACCCACTGGTGTATTATGCAGGGCCTGGAGGGGCAAGCATGGCAAGCCGCCCCCCCTCGCGGGATAGGAGGGGGTCTTTCCATGGCATTCTCCAGCTCTGCGGGCATGACGCGGAGGCCCAGGGCGAAGTATTTTTCAGACAGAGAGGAAGGGAGAGGAAGAGAGAGAAACATCGATGTGAGAGCGAAACTTCGATTGGCTGCCTCCTGCACACCCCCTGCCAGGGATTGAGCCCTAAACCTCCTAGGCATGTGCCCTGAATGGGAATGGAACTGGCAGCCTTTCAGTGCACAAGACAATGCCCAACCCACTGAACCACGCTGGCCAGAGCTGCGTTGCTTTTTAAATCTTCACCACAGGCTGGAAGCTGGCAACTCTGTCTCATGTCCATTGGGAAGACGGGACCCAGGCTGCCAGGAGTTTTGCTTTCCCACGGCTGGGCATGCCAGTGGATGCCAAAGCCAGAATTTGCTAGTCTCCATGACTCCAGACCCCACACTGTTTCCCCTCACCCCCTGTCTCTGCCTAGAAACACTGCACATTTAATTTTTTTTTTTTTTTTTTTTTTTTTATCTCTTAAGTATCAGTGCATGTTTGCTCTCTTGCCAGAGGTGTGGTGCAGCCTACTTATCAGGCCCTTGTTTGTCAAATTGGGGCTGATTCCCACCTGAGCTGGCTCCTCACGTCCCCCCTGCCCCAGAGCTCATCCAATAGGGCAGGCCACCTGTCACCTTGAACTTGCCCACACGTTGGAAACAACCTCACGTCTGGGCTGAGCGGGACACTGAGGCACAAGGAAAGGGTCATGCCGTCTCAGAACTCACCTCTTCCAGCCCCTCGTTTACTAAGCGGCTGTCTGAACTCTCTCTCTGCCAGCCAGTGGCTCGGCCAAGACTAGCCCAGTGTTTCCCATTCTGAGTCTGGTGCTCCCTTCCCAGCATCATCTGCCTCAGGTAGACACTCTAGTCCTGGGCACACACAGCAATGGCCCCACCGTCTAAGTCTTCACCGAAAGCGGGCAGGTGCGCGGGCAGCTGCCCGGGGAATTTGGTCCCAGCCAGAGTCCGCTACCTCCCCCCACCCTGGGTTTTCAGGAGGGTGGGGTCTCTGGGGCCAGGTCCTCCTGCCTAACTGGGGTGTTCAGATCTCTCGCCTCCCACTTTGTTAGCCAGGAGCAAGCTACACAGAGTCCTGGGATGGCTCTTGGGCCTCTGGATTTTAATGCTTCCATTTCCATCTTGGACCTTGTTTTTGCTCAGCTGAATGCAGGAGGTTTAACTCCAACTTAGGGCCTCATAGGACAGCGCCCGGCACATTGTAGGAGAATGTATCAGCCATTATCCTTGTGGCTATCCTTCAAACGCCCAGGGGAGGCAGAGCTGTGTCCTGGGCACTTTTTAAGTCACAAGGGGTTCAGGCTGTGAGCCCGGGCAGACAGACTGGACGCCCAGATGGCTCGTAGAGTCTTAGTGAAGCTGGGTGTACAGCTCTTGTGCGTGTGGCCTTGAGGGGCGCCCTCTAGTGGTACGTTTTCCGGGTTTGAGAATCTGAGATGCCCCCACTCAGGAGGGGATTCCGATTGACGTTCTGTATTTGAGGGTGCGGCAGGTGACAGGTGGGGGAATGCCGAAGGGTGACTTCCCAGACCCAGGCGAGTCCTGGCTCCATGACCCAGCCTTGCCCACCCCAGCAGTGCGAGTGTGGGGCCTCTCACCTGGGCTTGTCCACACGCAGGCCTGCCAGCTGAAGACAGAGACCATCACCTACGAAGAGAAGGAGCAGCAGCTGGTCAACGACTGCGTGAAGGAGCTGAGTATGTCCCTGGCTCTCCCCCCCACTCCACCCTGTTCCCTCCTTTTCCTTTCTGCACCTGCCCTCAGTATAAGTGCACAGGATCGCGTCCTCTGATCAAGCACAGTGTCCCGGCCAGCTGGGGCTCAGGAGCATTTTCCTTAAAACTAGAGGTCCCCCAGGTCTTTTGGGGGCACCCCTCACCCCTACTTATGAGAAATCGGGGGCCTAGGTCGTCAGTCATACATTGTCTCAATGCCTCACTGGCATTTAATTTTAACTTCGTTTTCTACTGGAACGTTGGAATTATTTTGACGGCTGAGTTAGGCATAGCTTCAGAGCCGTGTGTTGAAGATATGGAAAGACTGCTCTCTAGCCATCTGATTGGTGAACTTTGAGGCGAGAGTGCTTTTCACCCTCTCCATTATAAGTTGAGACGAGACAACGCTGTAAATCGGATATCTTGAGTTTCGGCAGCACACTAAATAAATGAAACACACCCTGTGTTCAAACCTAGGAAAATGAGTTGTGGCTCTGCCTGTGGGTGGGAAACAGCCAAGGGAACTGCGCTGTGCACGACAGGGTTTCCTTTCCAGAGCAGGGCCGACAGGAGTTCCTGGGAATATATGGACCTGTTCGAGGGTGGAGAGTGGGTTTTGGCCAGACGCACCTTGGTAGGGGTGAGGCACCTCGTGGCTGGCTCTGGGAGCCTCCTCATTTGCTCTGGGGAGGCAGCCTGGGTCACCATGAGCCCGGGAGCCACAGCTGGGAGCCAGGTCCCTCCTCGTGGCAGAAGGAGCCCGGGGAGTTGCCTGCTTTGCTTCACCGTCCAGCACAACGGGCACTCCACGTCCCTTCTTCCTGTGTCCTCTCGGCTCCCCATCTTCCCCCCCTCCCCTCACCCCCATCTCCGCACAGAGGTGCTTTCCCTGGTCCAGACCACCAAGAACCCATTCTCTCTTGGTGTGCACGGGGGGTTGTCTGACTTCACCTCGCGATGGCTGTTTCTTGGTCAAAGGGGACGCCAACGTACAGATCGCCAGCATCTCGGAGGAGCTGGCCAAGAAGACGGAAGACGCTGCCCGCCAGCAGGAGGAGATCACGCACCTGCTGTCCCAGATCGTCGACCTGCAGAAGAAGGCCAAAGCGGTAAGCGGCTGCTCTCCTGGCCGACACCGAGGGGCCCCCCTGGGATCAGGATGGGCATCTGACCCGGGAGACAGTGCCCTTCCCTTCATGTCTTAGGAGTGGTGGCTGCCTTTTGGAGAAAGAGCTTAGCGGCTGCAATGCTACACTCCTCACCAACACTCTCCTCCTCAGAATATCTTCAAATTGAGGGGCTTCACTACGAAAGCTGCTGTAGGCAAGGCGTCTGGGAATTGAATCATCTAGCCCAGTGGTCGGCAAACTCATTAGTCCACAGAGCCAAATAGCAACAGGACAACGATTGACATTTCTTTGGAGAGCCACGTTTTTTAAACTTAAACTTCCTCTATCGCCACTTCTTCAACACAGACTCGCCCAGGCCGTGGTATTTTGTGGAAGAGCCACCCTCAAGGGGCCAAAGGGCCACATGCGGCTCGAGAGCCGCAGTTTGCCGACCACGGATCTAGTCTAGTAGCTGTTTTTACACCCCGCACCGGTGTGTTCTGCAGCAGCCAGTGTCCCCTTTAGGTTGACGATGCAGCGGCCAGAAGACCGTCTGGTGGTTTCCCGTGTTTGGCCTTTGCTAGAAGCCTGGGGCGAAATGCTCCCAGAGATCAGCTGTCTGTGGGGGTGGGGTGGGCCACAGAGAACGAGCGTGGATGTAGGGAAGACTGCCTTCAGAATTCTAACAGAGGACATGTCCCCGGGTGTGAGAGGGCCCCTGTGGAAGGGCCCAGAGTCCTAAGGGACTGGGTCGCTGAGGGAGCGGGGCAGGAGGAGCTGACCGCCTGTGCGTTGCAGTGCGCGGTGGAGAATGAAGAACTCGTGCAGCACCTGGGGGCCGCGAAGGATGCCCAGCGGCAGCTCACGGCCGAGGTAAGCGGCTCCCCCTCATCTCATCAGGGCCCCCCTCCATGCCAGGTCCGGGGCATCCCTCACCCTGATGGGATGGGGGTTGTGTTCTCCTCAACAACCATTTTTCTATTGAATGGAAGGTTGTTTTTACTCCTAAGCTGACTCCCTCTGATGCGTGTACTGGTTGTGAGTGCCTGGGAGGCTGGGCCCTGTGCCTGCTCGGGGCCAGGCGTGCCCAGGCGCTCAATAAACAGTCCAGTAAGAGGCGACACAGAGCCCACCCGTGAAGGGAGTCCATTCAAAGACCCTTGGGTCCCGGGTGTCACGATGAGCTCCCCCATTCGGTTCTGGGTGCCCCCAATCTCAGTTGCCCCTGGTTAGAGTTTTAGGAGATTTTTGGAGTCGGAAAGGATGCTCCACATGAAAGAAAAATACGGAAACTTAAGGATTTGGGCACTTGGCTCCAGGGGCCTCCCTGAGTGCACGTGTCTTTCGGGCTGTGCGGGTGCGAGGGCCGGTGCCCAGGCCGGTGCCCGGTGCTCACGAGACGCCTCCCTGGTCCCCTGCAGCTGCGCGAGCTGGAGGACAAGTACGCCGAGTGCATGGAGATGCTCCATGAGGCACAGGAGGAGCTCAAGAACCTCCGGAACAAGACGGTGCCCAACACCACGTCCCGCCGCTACCACTCGCTGGGCCTGTTTCCCATGGTACGTGCTGCTGCTGCTGCTGCTGCTGCTGCTTGGGGACCCCTGTTCCCACCCACGGGCGGGCTGGGGTTGGTCTGTGGGGGCGGCCTCTCGTTTTGCGGCGTGGATCGGGTTCGAGCCTCGGGCTCCTGAGCCCAGCCAGCGGCCTCTTCGCTACACGAGACAGACAGGTTTCTTCGTTTTCCGTCCCCCTCACGCTCGTCTTCCCTCCGCCTGCTCTGACGAGAGAGATTTTAGTAGGAACTAGATGGAGTAGGGACCTCAGCTCCCGGGAGGATGTTATTGATACATCATTATTTTTTCCTGATCTTACGAGAGTCTGTGCTACTTCGGCTTCGCCAGAGCATCCCAGAATTCCCGAGTTGCCCGTGCGGTGCTGCTGGCTCTTTGTTGGCTGGTTGATCGTTAGGCTGGTGGCATCAGTCTCTGTGATCTAGAGATCTTTCTCTCCGTGCGTGGCAACGGGTGGGGGGGAGGGCGTGCATTTTTATATTTTCCATATTTCCCCCCGTCTCCTTGTTCAGCCCTGGCCTGACTCGTTTTTGGTCCGGCTGTAGGAAGCAAGGCCGAGAAGGGGCTTGGCAGGAGGTCAGCGCTCCCTCTCGTGGTTGGGCAGTCACCCTGGCTGGCCATGCCCCTGTGATACATGACACGCAGTGAACTCTCTAGAGCAATTCCCCTGCACGTGGTGGGAGTGGATGTCCCTGTGTTTGTGGAAGTCGGTCCCTTCCGAATTTGGCTTTCCGTGGGGCCCTTCCCCTTCACCCATGCCTAGCTGTCTGGTCCACGCCTCCTAAATCAGGGGTGGGGAACCTTTTTCCTGCCAAGGGCCGTTTGGGTGTTCATAACTCATCCGATTAATATCATTCACTTAATATAAATTTATGTTGCTATGGACTAAAAAGCTCCTAAATTTATTGAATTTCGAGTCCTGCTTGCAGTTGCCTGGGCAGGGCAGGACCGAATGATTTCGAGGGCCTTCTACGGCCTGTGGGTGGATGTTCCCGACCCCTGTCCTAGGTCATGGGACCTCTTTTCCCTTGTTGCTCTCATACATCCAAGTCAGGCTAGCACTCTTTCCCGTCTTCTCTCGACCTGATTGAAATCTACCGAGACCAAAAAGAAAGGCACGCAACGTAGTCGGCCCCCCAAGGAGCAGGCCAGCGATCCAGGGCTCCAGGGGTCCCGCGAAGAGCATTCTGTCCCCCCCAGTTCCTCTATTAGAGCTGACCACGCCGGCTGCCAGACTTGCCTGTGTAGCTTAGCACACGTCTCGCCTCGGTTTCCTTCCTTCCTGGCTTCTCACCGGGGTGAGGTGGTCTCCAGGCCCTAGGATTCACTCCTCTGCATTCCCCACCTTCCAGGGCAGACCTGTATTTTTTCAGATCGAAACCATTGCATGAGGAAAGTGGGGTTGGAAAGCGGCGGCTGGGTTTCCTCTGGAGGGAGTCTCGGCGTTCCTGTGCGCTGAGATGAAGCCTTTGTTTGTCTCTCTCTGTAGCTGACGGCACAGCTCTGTGTTGGAAGAGGGCTGTTGTTAGAGGGCATGGTGCATTCAAGGTACTTAAGTCAATTTAACGTCAGTCCACTGAGGTTAAATGCAGTCAGGAATTCCGTTCCTCAAGCCCAGGGGACCCGTCTCCAGGGCTCAGCAGCCCCGGTGGCTGGTGGCCCCGCACTGCACCGAAAGGGAGCACTCCCGGCGTCCGGGGATGCTGGTTTCAGCACGGCGTTAGCCCTTAGGTTGAGCTCTGAGGCCTTGGCAGGTGCTTTTCTGCCCGCGCCTGGCTCTGTGGGCGCCTCCCTGTGTGGGGTTGTCTGTGGGGCTCTGCCTCACACAGTGAGGAGTGGTTGGCAGTTCAGAACCTGTGTGAGCTGAGCAGTGAGCAGCCCGTAGACGGGGAGGACAGTTATTGACACTCATTCTGAGCAGCCCTCTCTCCCTCCCCGAGTTCTCCTCTCCCGTGGCCACCCCTGGGGCTCCGTGGTTTGGCCAAGGGGGCGTAGGGTCTGCTTTCAGACGCTCAGCCGCGGGGAAGCGAAGGAGCTTTGTACCCGGTGCCGTCCGGTGCCTGCCGTGTTCAGAACCTGCCTGGGGATGCTCAGCCAGGGCCCCTGACCATGCAGATGCTCTCAACCCGGCCTTGTGGCATGTCTGCCGCCTCTGAGGCCTCCGTTTACCCTTCTGGAGCTAGCCTGGGCACAAGCCTCTTTCAGAGACAGAGCGTTGGGGTTGCAGCTCACACGCGTGTCTTCTGGCTCCCCCCAGGACTCCCTGGCAGCCGAGATCGAGGGGACGATGCGGAAGGAGCTGCAGCTGGAAGAGCCCGAGTCACCGGACATCGCGTACGGCCTTATTCTGAGCTTCCCTGAGGGACCGCCTGGCGGCCGGGGGTGGTCAAAACGAGCCGTGTTTGGGCCTCAGGCAGCAACCGTGATCACTGAGGTCCCTCCACAGACGAAGGGAAATGAGAGGGCACAGCGGACATCACCCCCAGCTCCTCTTGTGACGATTTAAAGATAGATTATGAACATCCAGGAGGTTGGGACCCTGGAGACGTATTTAACATCTCCACACAAGTGACACCTCCACTCATTTTCATCCTTCCTCTCAGCAAAAACCATTGTTTAAAAAACGTTAACATCTTTTAGGAAGAGGAGAAGTAAGGTGGGAGATACCGAGGCCCTCAGGGGTGTGAGCAAGGCGTCCGTTCCCTTCTGGGTCCGTGTAGGGAGGCTGGCCTCTGCCATCTCTCTCCCTAACTCGCCACCTCTGCCTGGCCTGCCCTGGGGTGCGATGAGGAACCCGTGGGTCCGATTTCATCGTGTTTTCTCTGCTGAAACCCCAGAGGCACAACCGACAAGGGATGGATCCTGGGCGTGGCTAGTGTCCAGAGCCTCAGCCCCATCCCAGAAAGATGCATCCGTTATAGAAACGTGCCTTTTTCTCCTTAAAAGGGGATAAATGGGCATCAAAATGTGAGGCCCTGCTCTCAGCCATGGCAGTTTCTAAAAACAGACTCATCTGATGTTTATCATCTCAGAAGTTTGACCAACTTGAAGTCTTGCTTTTTTTTATATATATACAGTCATGTGCCACTTAATGACCTTCAGTCCGAGACGGACCACACATAGGACGAGGGTCCCGTAAGATTAAAAAGGAGCTGAAAACGCCTATCCCCTAGTGACGTCATAGCTGCCATGACATCACAGCACACGGCGGTACCATTGTGGCGGTGCTGGTGTAAACAGACCTCCCGCACTGTCACTCGTATGAAAGAATCACATACAGTTATGCACAGTATTTTATACTGGACAGTGACTATCGTTGACTTGGTTACTGGTTTTCTGTATTTATTATACTTTTTGCCATTTTTTAGAGTGTCCTCTCTCTACTTAAAAAACACACACACCAAGTTTGCTGTTAAACGGTGTGCCGTGCCACGCGGGCAGCAGCCCCACCTGCCCCCGTTTTACCACATCTCTTGATCGCATGACTCGCTTGTGCTTGCTTTAACCTCCTGTCGTCTGTGCGGCGGCATGCGGGACAGGCTGGCAGCCTCGGAGCAGTAGGCTCCACCCTCCAGGCGTGTGTAAGCGCGCTCTGCGATGTTCGCACAGCGACCAAATGGCGCAAGGAAGCATTTCTCAAAACGTGGCCCTGCCATTGAGCGGCACATGACTGTGTGTGAATAGTCAAGGCGTGTTCGTTCTACTGATACTCGCTGAGCCCTGTTAGGTGCAGAGCAGTCAACACTGCCCCCTGGGGTTTGCATTCTATTATAGTGATACTCATGAGAAAAAAGAATTAGCCGGGAGACAGCACTACTGAAGTGTTTTTATTTGTAGACCAAGCTTATGGGGGAGAGGGGAGGAATATATCTCCTGCTAGCATCCCTGTTAGGACACAGCCTTTGTTAGAGCCCTGACATCCATGGGTGGGGAGTCTCCTGCATTCCAGCCAACACCCCGAGAAACATCTAGAAGGCAGGATGGCAGGTGGCTCAGGCGCTCACGTGGGCCAGCTACCTTCTCGGCTTCCCCGCTGATGGTTTGGGGAGGGTTTAACCCCAGGGTCGCTCCTGCACGTGCTCATTCGCGGGCGATGTCGTGCCTTCTCCCCAGTCACCAGAAGCGCGTCTTCGAGACCGTGAGGAACATCAACCAGGTGGTGAAGCAGAGGTCTCTGACGCCCTCCCCCATGAACATCCCCGGCTCCAACCAGTCCTCGGCCATGAACTCCCTCCTGTCCAGCTGCGTCAGCACCCCCCGGTCCAGCTTCTACGGCAGCGACGTGGGCAACGTCGTCCTGGACAACAAGACCAACAGCATCATCCTGGAGGCGGAGGCGGCCGGCCTGGGGTGAGCGGCGGGAGCGGGGGCTTTTGTGTTTTGGAGATGGATGGGTGTGGAGCGAACGCAGGTTCCATCATCAGGGGAGGGAGGAGACTGACAGGAAGGGCCTGAAAAATACAGACCCTTCAGATCTCAAAGGCGTTTCACCGACCTGCCGAGCCTTTTTTTTAAAGTATATTTTATTGATTTTTTTACAGAGAGGAAGAGAGAGGGATAGAGAGTTAGAAACATCCATGAGAGAGAGTCATCGATCAGCTGCCTCTTGCACGCCCCCTACTGGGTATGTGCCCACAACCAAGGTACATGCCCTTGACCGGAATCGAACCTGGGACCCTTGAGTCCACAGGCCGATGCTCTATCCACTGAGCCAAACCGGTTTCGGCCCATGCTTAGCCTTGACGCCGGTCTGTTCACCAGTCCAAAGAGATAGATGGGACGCAACAGGAAGTCTGTAAAGTTGCTGACCGACGGGCAGAATCAGTGAGTGTGTGTTTCTGTTCGTCTTCACCGGGAAGGCTACAGCGTAGACCTGTGCGTCATGGACCCTTTGTGGCTGGGATGCTCGAACGGTTGAGGAGCGCCCAGGCTCTAGCTCAGGACCAGAATCTGGTTTGCTTCGGAAGGTGGGGTGCAGGGCGCCCCGCAAGTGCCCACCACACTGGGTGGCCCTGGGTGGCCCTTCCTCCGCAGGGGTCGCCCCTCTCCAGCCTGAAGCCCCCCAGATCCCCGCCCCCCACACATTGTCTGCTGTGGGCACACGACTCCTGTGACTTCACAGTATCGGTTTTCCTGACCAGCTGGGCAGACCGTTGGGACACGGCTTGGTCAGGACAGTTTTGAGCCTGACCAAGAAGAAGGAGGAGGGTCCCTTGAGCCTGCCCTTCCTGTAACCAGGAACCCCTGCTGAAGAAGGGCTTCTTCCTCCAGGGGGGAGGTGGGGGCGCTGAGGGGATTCGATGTTACATCGTGTGTGCGAGTTTTCATTCTGCCTGAGTGCTTTCTGCCTCTGCTCCTCCTTGCCCCCATCTTCCCCAAAAAAACCAACAGAGGGAAATTGTTCTTCAGGATAGGCATTGTTTCCCTTTCTGGGGGGTTGATCCTCACCAGAGGCTCTTTTTTCTTCTTCTTTTTTTTCTTTTTTTTTTTTTTCCCATTGCCAGACAGTGGAAGGGGGGGGGCGGGGGGGAAAGAGAGAAACATCTATGTGAGAGAGAGACACTGATTGGTTGTCTCCTGCACGTGCCCGGTAGGGGCTGGGGAACGAACCTGCAATCTAGGTATGTGCCCTTGACTGGGAACCGAACCCAACGTCCTTCCGTTCCCAGGCCATCGCTCTAACCACTGAGCACCCCGGCCAGGGCCGTTTCCCCTTTTTGGCCTGCCTCTCAGCCGCTCGCTGTGGTTTTCCTTAGAATGCCCACCGTCGCCCGTGCACGTTCCACAGGAAGGCCTCCCTGCGTGCTGTGCGCAGCGCCCCCTGCTGGGGGTGCCACGCTCACCCGTCTCCCCCCCCCCCTCCTCCTTCCAGAAACAACGAGCAGAGCAAGAAGCCGGGGACGCCGGGCACGCCGGGCTCCCACGACCTGGAGACGGCGCTGCGGCGGCTGTCCCTGCGCCGGGAGAACTACCTGTCGGAGAGGAGGTTCTTCGAGGAGGAGCAGGAGAGGAAGCTGCGGGAGCTGGCGGAGAAGGGCGAGCTGCTCAGCGGCTCCCTCACGCCCACCGAGAGCATCATGTCGCTGGGCACGCACTCCCGCTTCTCCGAGTTCACCGGCTTCTCGGGCATGTCCTTCAGCAGCCGCTCCTACCTGCCCGAGAAGCTCCAGATCGTCAAGCCGCTGGAAGGTGATCACCGGGGGCCCCGGCCCCTCTCGGCCCTGCTCGGGGACTCCCTGTGGGCGCTGATCCACCGCCGGCCCTCGGGGAGCGTCTGTCACGCCTACTCCTTCTTCTTCAGGGGCAGCCACCCGCGCTGCTGGTTTGAGTTCCGCTGAGGGACTCTGGCCCGGGCCCCCAGCCCCTGCCCGCCCCTGCCCGCCCCTGCCCGCGCAGGTTTGGAGAAACACACACAGGCACCCACGTCCATCCCTGGCCAGGAAGCCGGCGAAAAGAACGTGCCCACCTTGGCTCTCTGGTTCGCTCGCTTTTGCATGTAGAGTCTTAGAAATACAAAAAGAAATTTTTTTTGGATATATTTTATTGACATTTCACAGAGAGGAAGAGAGAGGGATAGAGAGTTAAAAACATCGATGAGAGAGAAACATCCATCAGCTGCCTCCTGCCCACCCCCTCCTGGGGATGTGCCTGCAACCACTGTGCATGCCCTTGGACCGGAATCGAACCCGGGACCTTTGAGTCCGCAGGCCAACGCTCTATCCATCGAGCCAAACCGGTTTCGGCAGAAACACAAATCTTTTCGAGAGCCAGAGGCACTGCTCGCGGACGCAGAAACTCCTGAGGCCCCGCCCACTAGGTCTGAGCAGCGGGGAGAGGTCATGCTTTGGCTGCTCAGAAATGTTGGTGTCAGGGAGGGAGAGGGAGGGAGGGGTGCAAAGCCAATGCCCTAGGCTTTCTCAGTAACCACGTGAAGGCGATCTGCAGTTTGTCTTTGCAATTTGTCGGCTCCTGTTCTGCTTCGATCTTCAAATCGCGTGGCTTTCTTCCTGTGTCCTGTTCTGAGCAAAGCTCCCAGACCACAGCTCTCGGGGGGCCAGGACGGGGTGGCTGTGGGGGCCTGTGAGTTCTGTGCCTTCTTCATCCTGCCTCCTCCTGGGGCAGTTCCCAGACCACAGCTCTCGGGGGGCACCCCAGGTGGTTAAACTCCTGGGGAAACGCACCTGTTTTTCTTTTTTTTTTTTTTTTCGCACCTGTTTTTCTTTCTGTTTCCTCTAAGCCCATGGTCGGCAAACTCGTTCGTCCACAGAGCCAAATATCAACAGGACAACGATTGACATTTCTTTGGAGAGCCACATTTTTTAAACTTAAACTTCCTCTAACGCCACTTCTTCAACATAGACTCGCCCAGGCCGTGGTATTTTGTGGAAGAGCCACACTCCAGGGGCTGTGGCTCACGAGCCGCAGTTTGCCGACCACTGCTCTAAGCATTATACAATGACTGCCCTTTCCCTCCCGGTACCCTTCCCTGCCACATCTTTGTATTTTTTTTTTTTTTTTTATCCCTGTAGTTTGGAAACCCGTGTGAGTGTGAGAAGGTGCCTTAGAATTCCGTTATTACATTTCTGATGAAAAGCCTAATCAGAATTTCTGTGAGGCAGTATTCCTCAACTTAAAAAAAAAAAAAATTCCCCCCCTAAGGAGCTGATGTAGATGTCTATTCCCCCTGAGAATGTAATACCACAGATACACCGTTTATGTGCTGTATGTATATCTGTGCTCTGTGCCTAAAAAAGAGTAGAATCTTTTCACCCCACAAGAACCCGTCTTCGGCCCCTTGGGGGCGGTACCTCTCCTGTTGGGGATTCCTGCCGTAAGATGAGGTTGTGCTTGTTGAAAACCCAAGATAATGGGGTTCCGTATTCTCCAAAGGGAAGAGGGTGGGTAATGTTCTTTTTTCCATGCTTATTTTTTCATTGTGTAAGTGAGGTCCTTCTTAGATTTCAATAAAGGGGTGGCTCTTTTTTCTTCTTTTTTTTTCTTTTCATGTTTATTCAGTTGTAAGTTTGGTGATTGTTTTCTGATCCACGATTATGTCTTTTTCTTTCAATAAAATCTTCCATTTCTGCAATTTTGCTTTCTGCCTATCTTTTATTTATTTATTTTTCTCTTGTCTCTCAAAAGATCATTGGAGTTTATCACCTCTATCTTGTCTGCTTTCTATATTTGATTTTGTTTCATTAGCTTATCAAAGAATAGGTGTTTGGATCCATTTTCCAAGCATGATTGCAGGAAGAGATTTTTTTTTTTAAATTTATTTTGACCAATATATCATTTTCTTTTCTTTTAGTCTTGTGACTTAGGCAGCAGGCTTTTTGCGATACGTTAATGGAATAAGAGGAAATCCCTTTAGACTTGCAAGATGAATTTCATCTATAGTACCCTGCTCATCCAAACGCTAAAACCACTATCATTAAGAAGTCATCTCTTATCACTAAGTCCTGTAAGTCGTCCTCACAATAGAAGTTCCTCTGGCTCCATTTGGTAGTTCTCGGATTCCTTTGTTGTTAAAAACACAACCGATATTTTATTTCTTCCTCCCCCCCACCCCAATTACTTTTTGGGGCACGCACGGTTGGCATGGAAATCTGCCCGACAATGAGTTCAACGCGGCTGTGACTGTGACCTTAGTTCAGTCACCTCATCTTTTTGAGCCCCGCTTTCCCTTATTGGTGACGTAGGGCTTGCATGTGCCGCACGATATTGTCATGAAGAGTTCACGTGATGTGCTTTGTATCATGCTCAGCACCCTATTTGGGGCTAATCCAAGCTTAGGCCCCCCAAACGGACCCCTGTTCTGGCAGCTCAGGTCTTATCGGTGGCCCTACCAGCGTTGAGACCTGGGCCCGCGTTGTGCTGGGGCTACGCCCTGGCATCGCCTCTTTCCACTCGCCCACTCCGACGCTGGTAGGATTCCCGTGACCTCCAGGGACCCGGGTAACTGTACCTGCGGGGAGGCCCCAGGAGACGGTGGCCGGGATCACAGCAGATAGCCGATCTGCGTCTCCCTGCCCGCTTCCCTCATCTGGCTGTCCGCTTGCTGGAGTCTGCCAAAGCTGCCGGGCTCGGTGTGGGAGCACGCGGGCACTCTGGATTCCTCCCTGACCTTACGTGTTTTCAGCAGGGGACGGACAAAACATTCGGACTAGGAGAGATCCGTGTGCGTTGCAAAGATGAGTCGTGTCTTTCCCTCCCTGAGTTTTGCTCTTCCTTTCGGATTAATTATAGCCAAGAGAGTATTTCCGCATAAAGAAGATACTATGGGATTAGGGAAAAGCACACACCTCTAAGCAGTGCATTACCCAGCGGGTTTAGTTTTAACTTTTAGGCCCCGGATGCTCCTCGGACATAAATAGGTTTGCTTTTCTTCTTCTTCTTCTTCTTCTTCCAGGACGTGAATACTTTTTTTTAGTGCGAACAGTGGGGTGTGAAAGGAAGGCAGACCAGGGGGAGAAGGACAGTGACCATAATGATGGTTTCTGTGCTGCCCATACCTTGGTTTCTTGATCAAGCCAAGTGACTTGATGTAACGCCTCTTCTGGTTTCACCAGCATTTCATCTCGGTGCCCACTAGAAGCAGGAAGTTTCCTCTCTCCACCTGCCCTGGTGCCTGGCCGCAGCCTCCTTCTCACGGGATGGGAGGAGGGAGTGGGAGTGGGAGGTAGCTGACAGCGCAGTCAGTCCTCCCTCCATGTCGTCCATAGGTTCTTGGGACTGCCGTGCCGATGCGTCGTCGATCTGGCTCCCAAGACTCGCCTCTGGGAGGCCTCCGGGCTGCTGGCCAAGGGGCAGTCTGTGTGGTTCAGAGGGTGGGCGCTGAGGCCAAGCCCGGGTTTGAATCCCAGATGGGCCCTTGGCCAGCTGTGCAGCCTCTGGCAAGTGACTTTACCTCCCTGAGCTCAGTTTCCTCATCTGTAAAATGGGGACAGTAGGGTTATCGTGACGATTAAGTGAGTTCATCAGTGTAGACCTCTACGGAGAGTGCCTGGCTCTTAGTAAACGTTAGCTGCTTGGTGAGCAAGGGAGGCCTGAGTCCTGGGGTAAAAACCTAAGTCCGTGCTTCACCTTGCAGCGTAACCTTTCATTTGTAATCTCACTGCCTTTCCTGGGCTGGGTATCGCCAGGGAACGCAGATAACCCCCTGCACTGCCTTAGCCTCCTTAACTCCAACAGCGGGCCCTGTGCGGCCTCCTTTCTCCCGGTAGCCCATGCATTGGGGTGGGAGCGGGAGAGGCGGGCAGCCCGTTGGGACAGGAAGATCCAGGTGCATGGACTCTGGGCCCATCCTCCAGCCGCACCACGTTCCTCCCCAGAACGTGGCAAACATCTCGGGCCCCTTTCTCGACACAGCGTCGTCTTTCCCGCTCTTCCCCTTCCACAGGGGAGGGGACGGGGCCACGTTGCTGCTGTGGCTGTCTCATCCTCCTTCTAAGTCCCACACGTGCAGGCCGGGCTAGAGGCCCTTCCCCGTGTGCTTTTGCTGCAGGAATGTGTCTGTGCCTCCCGCTGACACATAAGCTGGGGGCTGTTGTGAGTGATGAATGGAGGCCCCGAGGGCGGGGTGGGCGTGGGAAATCCCAGCAGCAGAAGTGTGTGTGTCTCCTGGCAGGCACTGGACGCCCACCCGGAAGGGTGACTGCCCACCATTGATGCATCTCGCTGGCTGGAACGCTGGCGTCCTTGCTTGTTTTCAGAGCTGTGGATTGGGGTGTTGGGGGAGTGGGCAGAGACCGCAGAAAGAACCTGGCCTTCAGCACTGAACCCTGGCTGTGCCGCCACCGGCTCGGTGACTTTGCAAAGTCACGTCACTTCCGTGAGCCTCGATGGGTGATCATACTGCCTCGTAGGGCAGGGCAGCTTTGAGGAGGGAGTTGCCTCGGTTCAGGGGAGCTCTTTGTAAATGTGATGCTGTGGCCCCTGGGACTCAGGACCCCACAAACGGGTCTCGGCGTGTGTGCAAAGCCCTGGCTGTGTGCACCCAGCGACGCTTATATGTGAGGTTCCCAAAGGCTCTGAGAATGAGGACCACAGTCAGAGGCCAGGGCACTGCTGGCAGTGGGGGCCAGGTCATCCTTTGTCCTGGAGGCTGTGCTGTGTGTGTAGGGTGGACGTCAGTATCCCCAGCTTTGCCCACTGGGTGCCATTCGCATGTCCCTCCACAGCTGTGGCAACCACAGTGCCTCCAGGCCTTTCCAGATGGCCCTGTGGAGAGCCGCTGCTCTAAGCGAGAGAGCAGGTGCGCGGTGCCCTCTGGCACGGTCGTCACCTCTTTTTTACAATATTTCCTTCTCCCTCTCTCTCTCTGTCTCTGTCTCTCTCTCTCTTAAGAAACATTTTATTGATTTTTTTACAGAGAGGAAGGAAGAGGGATAGAGAGTTAGAAACATTGATCAGCTGCCTCCTACACACCCCCTACTGGGGATGTGCCCCCAACCAAGGTACATGCCCTTGACCAGAATCGAACCTGGGACCCTTCAGTCCCCATGCCGACCCTCTATCCGCTGAGTCAAACCCATTAGGGCACCACTTCTCTTTTTTGCATTTGGAATATTTCCTATTTATGGCCAATAGATCCCGGGCCAGCAGGTTACTGCTGTTCTTGTGCGAATGAGACAGACCTCAAAGCAGGTCCCGGAAGGAAGTCTTCCAAACATGTGCAGGCGGTGCGGGCCCATGTTTTCCTCTCTTGTGTGGCTTTGAAATGGCCCATTGACAAAATTCCCTCATGGCTCCTTGGCTGAGATTGCCCCACGGGAAGTTACTTTCCAGCTGTGATGAGAGGTAGGGCCCTCACTGCTCATCTACCCAACCCCCCTCCCTCCCCCCTCCCCTCCCCCACCCCGATCTGGAGCTCCTGGTGGAAGAGCCAGGGTTCTCTGCTTCTCTGTCACATTCCTGGTTGGCTTCCCGACCTCACCACCCGCCTGTCCCTTCTGTCCTATCCTGACTTCCTGAGCTGCTGGCTCCTGTGTCCTCCGCTCCCCCTTCTGACGGGGCAGCCTGGTGGCCGGGAGGGGTTCTTGCCCACCCAACAGAGGACACCATTGGTGACTCAGCGGTGACTGTGCGGAAGGCTCTTGCTTGCCCATGCCCGGGACCCTCTCAAAGTCTGTCTGGCGTGTAGAACACGTATGTGTGTGGTTGATTTCACCTGGAGAAGGGGGCTGGGCCGCCCAGCCTCACGGGCCTTGCACCCGGCCTGCCAGGGCCGCACCGGGTGTAGCAGGGGTTCCCGGGGCCAGAATCGCGGCCCAGGGCCACGTGCTCAGGGCTCTGGGACGATCCCCCGTAGATGCAGGTCGGAGCCCAGGCGTCCCCAGCACGCCCGGTCTTGGAACGCTTCTCCTTGTGAGCACCTGTGACGCCGCCAGGTCCTCGGGGACACGCGCTGGTGTTATTACAGACCTCGCACGGTGTCATCTGAGTCCCAGGCTCCAGTGTCACCGAGCAGATCGGCTCCTCGGCCTCAGGCCCCTGTGAGGACTGGCCAGGTCCTTCTTCCATCACAACCCTGTAGGCCGGTCCCCATCCCTAAACCAGAGGTCGTCAGCAGATACAGAACAACTAAGTAAAGGAGGCCATGGCGGTCCCATCCCTGCCCCCCTCCCCACCCTTACCCCCATCGTGTGCCGCTTACGTTTCTTTCTGCCTTTCTCTCCTGAGGCGCCTGGGCTCGGCTTGACATTGTCCCAGATGCTCTGCTGTGTCCTCCTGTCCCCCACAGCGTGTGCTCCATGGTCAGACAGGCTGACCCCTTTTGTGAATGTTTGGCTTAGGTTTTACCGCTTCTGTTTCTAAAGTGATTCCGTGTTGGATTGAGGGCTTAACATCAGTTGATTTAAAATAAAGTGCTTGTCCCAAACACAGTATGGCATGAATTTTACTTAAAAAAATGAAAAAAATTTTTTTTATTCCTTACATTGGGGTCTTAGCTGCTGTTGCAGAGGGAGTGGGAGGCAGCGCCCCCCCGTGTCCCTCCTAGAATCCACCTGCTCGGGTCCTGGGGTTCGGGTCCTGCTGGGGCCCCGAGGGTGGCGGTGAGCAGCCGTCGGCTTCGACTTGCATCCTAATCCTCTTCTCCCCGCCCCGTTGTCCGCCTTCTCTCCTGCCAGGTTCGGCCACCCTCCACCACTGGCAGCAGTTGGCCCAGCCTCACCTCGGGGGCATCCTGGACCCCCGGCCCGGGGTGGTCACCAAGGGCTTCCGGACGCTGGACGTAGACGTGGACGAAGTGTACTGCCTTAACGACTTTGAAGAAGATGACACAGGTGACCACATTTACCCCCCGGGCCTAGCTACCTCCACGCCAGCACAGCACCCAGAGACCTCAGGTGAGAGGTCCCGAGCGCACGTGACTGTCGCAGGCGGCAGAAGCTCGCCGAGCCGGCCTCAGGCTTCCCCAGAAGAGATGCAGGAGCCGGCGGCCATGGAGGAGGAGGAGGAGGAGGAGGAGGAGGAGGAGGAGGGGTCTGGTGAGGGCACCGAGATAAGTCCTGTGCACCCGGCACCTTTACCGGAGGCAGCGTGCTGGGCCATTCTCACCTCTGTCCCGAGCACCATCCGTAGCGGCTCTCTGTCTGTGGCTTCCGCGCGTCCGTGTGGGTGACGATGGAAGCATTCCCATTGCGCAGCTCCGTGTCTAATGTGCAGTCCCATGCCTCCTTTCGTAACACATGGGCCCAGCTCCCTGCCCGCCTTGGAGGTACATGCCCAGCAGGGCTCTGGACACCGGAGGAGGAAAGGCTGCTAAAAAGAAGTGGATTTTGTCCCCACTCCCCATCCCCTAGAACAGTGTTTCCCAAACTTTTGACATATGTGCACTCCTTCTATAATTTTCGTCACGCTAAGTACCCCTTGTACTCATGAGAACGTAGAATTAGGCGCAACTAAGCACGGCGCAGTGCATATCCCCACCAAACTCCAGTGCAAGGCGTACCCCCACCAAACCCTTCCCGTACCCCTGGGGGTGCGTGTACCACACTTTGGGAAACACTACCCTAGAACACCAGCCCCCCAACACCCCCCGCTCCTGCTATGGGTCTCTCCCAGTGTCTGAGAGACAGATCCTTGAGTCCCCTGGCCATTTCCACGCTGAGCTGAGCTGAGCTGAGCTGGGCAGTTGCAGGGGAAGGGATGAGTGCTGGGTCATTCCGAAGGTGAATGAGACCCCCGTTACCTGCACGCTGCCCTGGGGTAGGAGAGAGCCCAGGAAGTGTGCAAGGTTTGAGACGCCACTCGGGCAGCCTTTGCCCTTTCCTAACTTGAATGCAGGTATCTGTGCCCCTTCCCCGCATGCGTGCTCGGAGTGGATTTTTAAGAAGTGTTGTAGCAATGCTCCTGAGCCACCCCAAGCCCGAGTGATGGCAAGAAACTGTTCCAGAGAGAGGTGCAGGATGAATCAGGAAAGCTCATGGCTCGTCTCTCCCCTCTGAACCCCTCACACTGTCCCAGCAAACATGCAAGCCGTGGCCATGAGTTGGTGGGACTGCCCACATCCCAGGAGCACTGGCTTGAAAAGCTTCGTGCTCGGGGCCTGGGGCCCAGGGGCCAGACCCCCAGGACCCCCTGGCTGCTTACGCTAGGGAGGCCGGGTAGCTTTGATGGGATAAGGGGAGAGACCCGGAAAAGGATGGGTCAACCAATGTCTTCGTTCCCATGGCAGCTCCGAGGCACCCAGCTTGAAAAGAGGATTCCACTCATCGTGGTGGGTCTCACTTTTCATTCCTGAAGGCCGCCACGTTCCCCATGCAGTGCCAGGCCCGACAGTGCCGAGGTTCTCCGCAGCGTTTCCCAGCCAAACCCTGGCTGAGTTCAGAGGCCGATGGCCAAGGGGCGTTAGGGGGGGACCAACTTTTCTTCTTTTCTTTAACACCAACTTGAGAGGTCTCTCAGAGTGCAAAGGGTTTGTTTAGCAGACGGGTTTATGTGTGGCTTGTTTTCTTTTCCGGAGCGGATTAAGGGACCAGGTTGAGCTTGGAGGGGATGACAGCTCTTGTTGTGCAGCATCTTCACACTTCAGAGAGGGAGCCTAGGGTGCTGTCACCCGCCTTGGTTAGGGGCACCAGGAAGGCAGACAATAGTTCAGGAAACACAGCGTCTGCTGACCCTCGTGGCTGAAGTGGGAGGGAATCTTGTCCCGTGTGGTGGCCCCTCCCTGCAGCCCTGGAGCAGGGGTGTATCTGGAAGTTTAAAGACAGATGCACCTTTTTTTAAAAAAAAAATATATATATTTTTTTATTGATTTTTTACAGAGAGGAAGGGAGAGAGAGAGAGCTAGAAACGTCGATGAGAGAGAAACATCGACCAGCTGCCTCTTGCACACCCCCCACTGGGGATGTGCCCGCAACCAACGTACATGCCCCTGACTGGAATCGAACCTGGGACCTTTCAGTCCACAGACCGACGCTCTACCACTGAGCCAAACCGGTTTCGGCCAGACGCACCTTAAAGGTGTACAGAAGGAGCACCGCTGAGCAAGTCAGCTGAGGACTTCTCTAGGAAGATGGAGGGAGAGAGGGGGCCGAGGATGAGGATCTGAGTCCTGCCGGCTTTTCTTAACGAAACAAAGACCTGGTTCTTGCTTCTTCCCTCAAACCCGGCAGCAGACCCATCCCAGCACCGCGGAGGAGCGGTTGGAAGTGAGCGGCCCGACAGAAGTGTGTGGTTGCGGAAGGGAATTTAGGGACCGTCTGGTTGTGTAGGGTTTTCGGGGTGAGACTTGGGAAAAGCTCAGTGTAGTAAGGAAAGGCCCACGCAATGGTTTGGCTCTTTTTTTTTTTTTTTCCCCCCCCTATTAATGGGAAGGACAAGACCCTTTCAGTTCTTGGAATGAAAGAAGCAGGTCACTGAGTCCTGACCCCAAAGGCCCCGAGGGGCACTAGGCAATCACACAATCTTGGAGTCAAGGGTGGCCCCTGGGCTTCGGCAGGAGGCCTGGGCACCTTCCGTGTTGACGTGTGTACCCAGGCTAGTTTGGTCCCCGCCCTGGTCCACCCTTCGTGCTCCGGCTCTTCTGTCTGAGAGGCTGCCAGCTGCCTGGGGAGACTGAGTAGGGAGAAACTTAGAAGACAGAGGTGATTGGCCCTCTTTTCTGCCCCTGGATGACGGAAGGAAATGGGGAAGTCTTGTGTATCAGGCACGTTTGTCTAGCGTCTGCTGCCTCATGGAGAAAGAGTTTTGAGTGCATATTGAAAAAAAAACTATTAACATATTTTCATGTGTTATTTTTGTATCGTTATTTGCTGTTGTTTTTTTAAAAAAATAATAATCCCATGCCTTGAAAACAATGAATTCTTGTTTTCATCTTTGTAAATCATTTAGATAATTAAAGTGGATTCTTTAAAACAATTTTAGATTATAGTTTTACTTTATTTCAGTGACATTTTATGACTTAATTCATCTAGAAAGGGCGCCTTATCAGAAGAGGGAGTCTTCTCTGGATTGCTCGTGCTCTGAGCTTTATGTGTTCATGAGCAGGCAAGAGTCTGCGTGCAGTCAAGGGTGAGATCAGAGTTTTTAAAGTATGCAGTTGTGATGGTAGGTGTTTGGGCGGACAGGTCAGTTGAATTTTCTTGGATGTCTTGATCTTTAAAGGGGAGAAGGAGGTGGGGTTAAAGCCACAGAGATAGAAGAAAGTGAAGATCTTTTTTTTTTTTTTTAATACTCAGACATGTGGAATCCATTTAAAGGGGAAGGGACACCCTAAAATAGGCTCCTACAGATAGACAGACCATGGCAGCCTTCGGACAGCGGCCGTGTGGGGCTGTGCCTCATCTCTGGCTGCATTTTCTCTCGGACAGCTGTGTGGGCTCATGTGAGGGGTCGTTTAAGGACCGGATGCCACAGTGGACTTTAGAGAGGAAAGTTTCTGCCCTCCCAGCACCTGACCAGCCTGTTCTCCTGTGGGCGAGGGAGGACGGGACCACTCAAAAGGAATGACGTGCATGAGCCGGTGTGTACACATCTGGCCTCGTGGCTGGCCAGACTGAAGAGTTCCAGGCGTCCTCAGGTCCCCACCAGTGTACTTGCCCTGTCCCTGCTTCCTTCCTCTTCTCACCATTAGTGCCATGGACCATGGGGAGAAGGTGGGCTTTCTTGCCCAACCCCCCTAGAAGCCAGAGTCTCACAAGCAGCAATCACCAGGTCTCCGTATCAGTCACCAGGTCTAATAACAATCACCAGGTCTACTAGCAATCACCAGGTATAATAGAAATCACCTTCTAGAAATCACCAGATCTACTAGAAATCACAAGGTCTCCATATCAGTCACCAAGTCTATATAGCAGTCACCAAGTCTAGTAGTAATCATCAGGTCCCTGTAGCAACCACCAGGCCTAGTAGCAATCACCAGGTCTAGTAGCAATCACCATGTCTAGTAGCTATTACCAGGTCTAATAGAATTCACCAGGTCTGCTACTAGCAATCACCAGGACTACTAGCAATCCCCAGGTTTAATAGCAATCACCTGGCCTACTAGCAATCACAAGGTCTGCGTAGTGTACTTGCAGATAATCCCGAGCACAGTCTGCAGGGGCCTCTAGGCCATCGCTGGAGATGGGGTGGGGGTAGGGTGCCAGGCACCCCCATGACTGGTGCAGCAGCAGGATCCCAGGCTCAGTTTTCCAGTTGGTACCAGGTTTCACAGCCCCCAGAGGAGCCTCGCACTCAGAACCCTTTCCCAAGTGCACCTCTCTAGGCAGAAAGAGACACGTTGGTTGGATCAGAGAGTGTGAGCAGGGTGCCTGTCGCCCTTATAAGCGCTCCAGCACCCACTGCCGCTGCCGAAGGGTGTGTGCTCACACGTGCCAGGCTTTCAGAATAGAAATCCGCACACTCTCCACCAGTATGCAGTCCACCAGCTCAGACCTCCAATAATCCAGGACTAATTAAAGATAATGGTGATCTCTGATCGAGGAGGATTTTGTGCCAGTGTCAGAACCTGGGGAAGGAGGAACACATAAAATGAATGAAGGATTAGGACAGGACACAGGGCAGTGGTCGGCAAACTCATTAGTCAACAGAGCCAAATATCAACAGTACAACGATTGAAATTTCTTTGGAGAGCCACATTTTGTAAACTTAAACTTCTTCTAACGCCACTTCTTCAACATAGACTCCCCCAGGCCGCGGTATTTTGTGAAAGAGCCACACTCAAGGGGCCAAAGAGCCGCATGTGGCCCCTCGAGAGCTGCAGTTTGCCCACCACAGGATTAGGGGTATTACTGGGAAGTGTCCCTCCTTCCTGAATAAAATCCTAATGAAGCCCATTTACTCTCTCCGTACAACTCTGAGAAAAATGTCAGGCTGAGCCGAAACTGGTTTGGCTCAGTGGTAGAGCGTCGGTCTGCAGACTGAAAGGGCATTCAGAGGCTCCCATCCTGGAGGCCAGTTGAGCCTTGATAATCCTGCATCAAGAATGCCCCTCAGACCCTGCGTGGTCAGAAGGGCTCCCTGCGGGCATCTTACTCATTATTAATACAGGACAGCTCACCGAAACCGGTTTGGCTCAGTGGATAGAGCATCAGCCTGGGGACTGAAAGGTCCCAGGTTCGATTCTGGTCAAGGGCATGTACCTTGGTTGCGGGCACATCCCCAGTAGGGGGTGTGCAGGAGGCAGTTGATCGATGTTTCTCTCTCATCGACGTTTCTAGCTCTCTATCTCTCTCCCTTCCTCTCTGTAAAAAAAATCAATAAAAATATATATTAAAAAAAAAAAAAGAAAAGAAAGAAAAAGCCAGGCTGAGAAGAAGAATGAGGGTTTAAGTAGGATGTCCGAGCATCGAGTCCAAGAACCCATGTCCTCGGAGCCCCAAGTGAGCAGCACTGGGGCTGCTCCGCGGCCGCACCAGGAGCCCTGAGCGACTCACTCACTGTCCCTGTGTTGTGTCCCAAGGAAGGGAGGTGCTGCAGCAGCCGAGCAGGCGGTGACACGTGCGGAGAGAGCTGACGGGTCCAGGTGTCCCAGCGGTATTTCCGAGGGGTCCGACCTCTGGCTTTGGCACTCTTGACGCGGGTGGATCTTCCTTGGTCTTCTAAAGCCATCTCTTCCTTCTGGGGACAATGACTTCTGAATTTTAGCAGCCTTTTCCTCTCCCCAAAACCCATTTGCATTCGATGGGTTTGGCTTCTGCTGATGATGTCTCTGAAATGTCCATCTTACACCCCCTGTTGCAATCAAGGTCCAGATGGGACGGGGGAGGAGCAGGTGGGCCTCGGGGCCCCTTGATTGGATGTTCTGGCCATGCGTTCCAATGGGGCAGCTTCTGGGTTCCCATCCTGCCTTGCTTTTTGTTTGGTTTCTTTTTCAAATGTTACCTGTTCTTTATTCTTTCGCCTTAATAACTTCTGTGTACCGCTTTTTCCTTTCCCCTCCACCCCCCCACCCCCACCCCCCGGCCTGGATAACCCCCTGCGTTATTTGGGTTCCCTTCCCAGCTGTCCTGTTGCTTTTGTTTCTAGACCTCATGGCAGTCCAAGACTCGTGATTGTTCGGTTGCCTTTTTCTGCAGCTTATTCCATTTTTGTTTTGCTCGCAGCAGTTCCTCAGTTATCCGAGTTCCCAAGCCATCCCATCTTTTGGTTGAGAAGCACAGATGCATAAAGGCTATTTTTATGTGCCTCCCCGCTCACCCTCCCCCCCCCCCCAACATGGCCTGGAGCTCCCCGTGGTTGAGCGTTCGCTTCTGTGGCCGTGGTGCTCACTGGGTGCCACGCCAGGGGCCACGGGAGCCTGCCTTGACCCAGAGAGACGGGTCGGGCCATAATAATCAGGACACACCAGCCCCGCGTTGCTCCCTGAGTCACCGCCACCATTTTTGTGCTCTGGCTCTGTCCTGCCTGCCTTCAGTTTGCGTGTCTCCAACATTTTTTTGTTTATTTGTTTCATCTGGTTTCCAGGTTGGTTTTTTTTTTTTTGGTTGGTTTTTTTTTTTTTTTTTTTTTTTTAGTTTTTGGTTTTGTGTTTTTAAAGACACAATCACTCATGTGTGGATCTGGGTCTGGAGCACCGATGTCCTCTGTTTTGCCATCCTTTTTGGTCAAATCGAAGAGAAAACTTGCCATAGAGAGCTGGAAGATTCCCGTTTGCTGCCTCTTGAATCTTCAGGGCACTCATGGCCTCTGATGCTCAAATCCGTTTCCTCCCAGGAGGTCTCTGGGGGCTGAGCTGCTTCAGGGCGGGCGGGCGGGGTGGGCGTGGGTCTCCCTGTCCTTCATCATGCATGCTGGTTGGAGCAGCATTTTTTCCTCTTTTTTTTTTTGTTTTTTTGTTTTGTTTTATTTTTTCAATGTTTGAGTTATGAACGAGGATGACCTCTACAATCATGATGTCTCCCGTAGACCTCTCTACCCATCACTCACCTGCCCACTGCTGCATGGTCCTTACGCTTCTGTGATTTACTCTGCTCCAGCTCACAGCCTCCAGCCGCCTTAGCAACAACCCTGGAGACCGTCCAAAGGAAACAAATTGGAGGGAACCTGTGGCCGTCTCATTTTCATGAAAATCAGACCTCCTGGAGGCGCAGGAAAGCCGCCCAGGCTGGGCTGGTGCTGCCGGCATCTCCTGTCCGGTAGCACCACAGACAGGCCCGGGGCTGGTCTCGGCCATGGCCACGTTGTTGCTGAGGCAGCTGAGCTCCTGTCCCCCCTGCAGGCCACAGACAGGCAGTAGTGGAACCAGCCTCCCCACGCCACGCCCCTTTTTGTGCAAACAGAAAAGGGAGCCCAGTGAGCTGAGCCCTGTTCCCAGAGGGCCGGCGCCTCTCCCCCCCAACCCCCCCCACCCCCCGTCCCGCCCCTCCCTTTGGCAGAGTTTGGCACCCATTTGCCAGCGAAAGGCAAAGCCAAGCCACAAAGACAGAAGCCGATTCTGACCCCTGAAGAGGGCAACCAAACTGACCCCCACAGGCCTCTTGGCCCCTCACGCTGGATCCACTACTGCCCCAGAACGCGATGCGCAGCCCTGTCCGGACTGGGCCGGAGCCGGGGAGCCGGGTCCGTGCCCTGCGCGCCGGCGCTCAAAAGCCTGGCTGCTTTTGAGGGACCCCCTTCGACCCAGGACCTTTGTGTTTCTGCCTTCCTGGCCCAGATCCGGTTACAAGGTAGCTCATCGCTTCTTGCATCTGTGGAGGGTGAGCCAGACTCCCCCCTTCTCGCGGGTGTACTTGGATGCAAGAAATATGTTTTGTCCCTCCCCCCCCTCCCCCCATCTAGCGCACCACCCTGGGAAGTGCATGTCACAGACCAACTCCACCTTCACCGTCACCACCTGCCGCATCCTGCACCCTTCCGACGAGCTCACGAGAGTCACGCCAAGGTAAGGGACCCAGGCCTGGGCGTGAGCGGGGCCGGGGTGGGGTGGGATGGGGGCTCTCCCTGCGAGACGTAATGTCAAGGGAAGCCCAGGTAGAGAGGCGCATTCCACACGGCCTTGTCCAGCTGAAGCCATCTTGTAAGCACCTGCCGGCTCCTGTACTGGGTCCCGTGTTTCCGTCCGACCTGAGGTCCCTGTTGCTTCAGATCCATGCAGATAGAGGCGGGGCCACCTTCTGTCGCCCTTCCAGCTGGTCACGGGAGATTCCCAGGCCCGAAGCCCATGTCTACTGGCATTTTACCCCAAGGTTTGCCAGGAGAGCCCGGAGTTTCTTCCCTGGGCTTCCCCCTCCCCCCAAACCCTTGTGCCCCTGCAGTAGACCTCAGGAACCGTGCCCCACAGCGCCACTGATTGAGATGATCAAATCTAAAGAACGGGCCACGTGCCCAGTGTGGTCCATTTCCCTCCGGTGCCTCCAAGAAGCCATAGAAGTTGGCACCTTCTGGCGAGGGGACTTGTGTGGCCTGGGGTGGTCTGCGTGACCTGATTTCAGGCCTTCCACAGCTTCCAGGGAAAGGGAGTGACCCGTTTTCTCTGTGGTGCCAGATGCCAGAGGGGTGAAGGTACAGCCGAGATGGAGGGAGGCGAGCCGGGCCAGCGTGGAGGGAGCAGCCGCCCCGAGGCGCCCCCTCAACTCTGAATAACTCTCCGCAGGTCATGTGAGGAGGACGGCGAAGCGGCCCCAGGCCCCGTTGAGCTGAGAGGAGGTGTAGGGCAGACAGTGCGCCCACGGGCCAGGCAGGCGGTGAGCACACGCCAGCCGTGCCTGCCCCGGCAGGGCCACGTGGAAAGGGCCGTGTGTGTGCACGCGTGGCCGCCACTAACCTGGGTCTCAGGCGTGGGTGTGTCTCTGTGGTTGCGCCTGGCTAACTCGGCTTGGACGGTGGATACCCCTAACCAGCTAAACTGCCCCCCCCCCCCCTCCCCCCGTTGAGCCGAGCGCCAGCACTAATCCAGGCCTCACCGAAGTTCTCACCGGAAGGGATCTCTAGTTGTAGTGTATCGTCCCCCATCTCCCTTCCTGCCTCCGGACAACCTGGCTCTCCCCGTCCTCTTAGGAGGAGATTGGGTTTCACCCTGGGAGAGGCTGGTGCCCGGCCTGCACGTCCGTCCGTCCATCCGTCCGTCCGTCCGTCTGCATCCCTAGGGTCATGTCGGGGATGGGGAGGCCTGGGTAGTCAGGAGCAAGAGCAGGCTTCTGCCTGAGTTTGAAAGAATGGCAGCTCGGCCCAGGAGGAAACCCGCCCGGAGCCTCTTCGTCCTCCGTTGCTTGTAGACCGGTATTTTGTAGAACTCCACCTGCGCCACTGGAAGAGCCCACCTTTAACCTTAGGAATTGCTGTGGTCTCTAATCGCGTGTGTCCCCGAGTGCCCCCCCTCCCGACCACCCGCGTCCCTGCCTGAGCCTGTGGGGGTGGGCCTGCTCGGCGTGCCTCTCCCTTTGCTGACCAGTCAGCCACGAGGTCACCTGAGCGTGGAGCCGGCTGATGCTGCACCTTGGACCCGCCTGGGATGGTGCCGCCCGAGGAGGCGGGCCCTGAAGGGTCATCCCAGCAACCGGCTCCGGAGTGTGTCCCCTTCCTTCCCTTTCCCTACGTTGATGCTTTGCCCAAGGTATCTGGTCCTCCATCAGGCTGAGGAGAGAGGGCCCTGCCCCCAGCTCCCGGGGGCACTGCGCCAGGTAGGCCTTCCCCCTGCTGGGTCTCTGCACTGTGTGTCCTCCTTCCTGGCCCGGCGTCTGGAGCACAGTGGGTCCTTAGCCAGCCTGACACGAGTGGGCGTAGGGACCTTCGCTGTCCATCAGTCACAGGGCTGACACCCACCGGGCCCCTGTCTGGGTGGCTCCATAGACGCAGATCTGCCAGCACAGCACGGCTTCCTCCGACCCCGTGGCTGCTCTCGTCCAGTTACGGATTTGGCCGGCCACGGGGAGGGCTGGGTGCCTCCGCGCAGAGGAAAGAGCACTGTCCTGGGAGTCAGGGGGCAGGGTCTGCTGCTGACTTGATGAGCACCTTCAGCCTCTGTCTCCCCGTCGCCGAGGGACCCCCCACCTGGGTGTCCCGCCTGCTCTGGCCATTCCGAGATACACTCATAGCCCGCAGTCTTGGGTAACTTCTGCCCTCAGGGAAGTGGGTAGTGGGTAGTAACTCTGGAGTTCAAGCCAATCTTGAGAGAAAGAAACTCTCTTCGTCAAAGGGCTTCCTCCCCCATTGGGGGGGGGTCACTGTACTTGGGTTCGAACCAGGGTCCTCCCCTTTCTAGCTGAGTGTGACCTTGAGGGAGCCACCTGACCTTGAGCCTGTTTCCTCACCGGCAAAGGGGACAGTTACCCACATCCTGGACTGAAACAACCTTCCCCTTCCCCCCAAGTGAATCCGAGCCCCCTGAGTGAGAGGGCACAGACATGGAAGGAAAGGGGCATCCAGGGCCAGGCTAGGGGCCTCCTCTTACCCTGTCCTGGGCCCGCCCTGTGCCCCTGCAGGAAACTGCCTTGTCTCTGGCGCTCGGGGGCACTTTCTGACAGACGCCCGCCTGTCTCTTCCTTTCAGCCTTAACTCGGCCCCGACTCCAGCTTCTGGCAGCGCCAGCCACCTGACGTCCACGCCCGTGGCCACTCCGTGCACGCCCCGGAGGCTGAGCCTGGCCGAGTCCTTCACCAACACCCGCGAGTCCACGACCACCATGAGCACGTCGCTGGGGCTGGTGTGGCTGCTGAAGGAGCGGGGCATCTCGGCGGCCGTGTACGACCCCCAGAGCTGGGACCGGGCCGGCCGGGGCGGCGCCCTCCTGCACGCCTATGCCCCCAGGATGGCCGCCATCCCCTCCACCCCGCCCAACTCGCCCATGCAGACGCCCACGTCCTCCCCGCCCTCCTTTGAGTTCAAGTGCACGAGCCCGCCCTACGACAACTTCCTGGCGTCCAAGCCGGCCAGCTCCATCCTGAGGGAGGTGAGAGGGAAGAAGCCCGTCCGGAGCAGCGAGAGCCAGACGGACGTGTCGGTCTCCAACCTCAACCTCGTGGACAAAGTCAGGAGGTTCGGCGTGGCCAAGGTGGTGACCTCGGGGCGAGCCCCCATCCCCATCTTGACTGAGGACCAGGGGCCTCTCCTCTGTGGGGCCCCGGGCCCCGCGCAGGCCCTTGTCCCCGGAGGCCTGGCACCCGAGGGCCTGCCTCTCGGATGCGCCGCCGTCACCAGCGCCATCGGCGGGCTGCAGCTCAGCAGCGGCATCCGGCGGAACCGCAGCTTCCCCACCATGGTGGGCTCCAGCATGCAGATGAAGGCCCCCGGCACACTCACCTCGGGCATCTTGATGGGTGCTAAGCTCCCCAAGCAAAACAGCTTGCGGTGAGGGTGGCAGGGGGGGCCCTTCCTCGGAGGAGACCAATCTTGTCCTTCCTCCCTCGTTTCTCCCCCCCCCCCTCCTCCCCCCCGAACTGCGTGCGCTCTCCCTCTTCCCTCCTCGCCCATCCCGTCCTGAGCTAGACAAATCAACCTCGTGCCTCATGGGGGAAAGAGCGGAGACTTTTGTAAAATGTGTACATAGGACTTGGAGACCAGTATCCAACCGGCCCTTCCTTCCGATCCCACGGGCAGTGCCCTCCGCACTGTCATTGCTCTCGTGAGGACTTTGCCTGTGCCGGCCTGGGGGGCCGGGCGGGCCTGTGTCCTTTCCTCCTCCTGTCCTTTGAGAAGCACTGAAACTCCCCAGGGCGTTCTTATCCCATGGATAGGGAACCAGGGAACTCTTGGCGGGCCACCAGTGTGCCCGTCATGAGCTGTCACAGGGCACAGTGGCCCTGCCCCCACCCTCCCTCCCTCCCCCACCCCGTGTCATTGGGCATCTCGCCTCGCTCGCCCTGCAAGAGCGTAAGGAGCCTCCGTCCACAGCCACATGCAGCTGGCGTGGCCTCCGGGACCGGAGAGAGAGCTGTGCGTTCTTTTCTGGGCGATCCAGCTCCTTCGAGACCTTCATCCTCTGCCTCCGGGGACGGTGGCTTCCTTTTTTGAGGCGTGACGTCGTTGGCTTCCCACACGCCTTCAACCTGAAGTCATCCTTCAAAGTCTTGCGATCAGCTGTCGGGCCAGGCACCTGGCCCGAAAGAGAACGTGTTTACACTCCGCCGTGCGTGTCCTGTTCCATTTTTCTACGTTTTATAGGCAGGGAAGCAGTGGTCCCCGAGGGGGAAGTCCCAGGGTACGTTCTCTCTGTGGTTCTACGGCACCAAAACACGAGTGGCAGGCACACCAAGCCGCTCAGGAGATGGCTTCTTTCTGGGAACCCAAGTGGTACAGTCCAATTGAATAAGATCAGGCCCAAGACAACCTCAACGCTAGCAGTACGAGGAAAGGGGGCCGGGGAAAAGGTTACGAGTGAAATACATCGACCGATGAAAAAGAACCAGAAGCACACGTGACACCAAACTGGTTCACGGGGCAGGGAAGCGAGGCCTTGGCCTCTGTGGCTGGGTCCACTCCTTACTCCGAAGCCCGAGTCCGGTCCAAGCGCTTTTCCCCCTGAGGTCTTTCGTGGCAGCCATTGGAGGCCCACACATTCTGCTCTCCCCCCCGTCCACCTCCCCGGAAAGCCCTCTGCCTCCCTGTGCCACTTTTTCTCCTTAGGAAAAGATAAAGGTGCTCGTGACACAAACGTGAGTGAGCAAGGGGGGGCGCCGTCCCGTGGCTGTCGCGGAGCGGGCCCAGAACCCGTATTTATTGCTTGTGTGTGCTGTGTTCTAAACAAGCACCCCCGCTCCTCCTGCCCCGGTCACAGAGTGTCTGGCACTCTCGTCAAAGCAGGTCATTTATTTATTCTAATCTGAAGCCTACCGTGTACCTCATGGTGTCCCGTGGCCATTTATTCCCGACATGTATGCAAGGGTGACATCACATGCAAGTGAAATTGCCATTTTGCACTGCCCCCCCCACCCCACCCCCCCGCACATACACACACTCTCCCGTCTCCACTGGGCAAAGGGTGTGTCATTCGATTGAAGGAGTGTAATCTTACGTCCGCCGGAGACACCGTAAGGAAGTCCCCAGGAGCGAACCCCAGTCCCACGATTTCAGACTATTTATTCTGTGAACACGAAGAAGGTGTTGGCCAGCTGTTCCCAACACCCCTCGTGGCTGTATGCGTGCACTCAATGCAAGGAACGTACATCTTCTTATCCGAATGTATTTTAAAGCAGTAGGTAGAGTAACAAAGGAACATGAGAACCATGCCTTGAGCGGACCACTTTATGTATTCAGAGAGAGGAGCCACCCGTCATCCCAAAGGGAAAAGCAGCAGTTTGGAGGTTGCCGTATTTGGGGTAGTAAATAAAGGATCAACATGGGGCAGCCGCTCTCAAAAAGTGTGTTGTAATGCATCAGAAATCAATAATAAGATTTTCTTTGCTAATGAATATCAATAAAATAAGTTCAAATGATGGAAACCACAAGGGTACTGCGATTTGCATTTTTTGATCTTTTTCATGATGACCTCTTTAGGTAAGAAGACTTGACGGTTTTCAGCTCTTTGGGGAAATGAAACAAAAGCCATGCAGTTCTTTACATACTGTCATACCTGCCCTTTATTTGAACACTAGAGCCCAGGTGCACAAATTCGTGCATAGGTGGGGTACAGCCAACCTGCCCTGATGGGAACTGATCAGGGCCAGGCCAGAGGGGGGAGGGGCTGTGGGCAGTTGGCTGGCCCTGCCCGCCATTGGAGTGGGGCTGGGGCCAGGCTGGCCAGGGGGAGGGGCCGCTGAAGGTTTGGGGGGACTGATCAGGGCCTAGATCAGGCGGTTGGCCACCACATTGCACATCATAGCACCAGTTGTTCCAGTTGTTCCACTGTCCCGGTCACTTGGCTTTTATAGATATAGATAATATAATATCCTAGACAACTTTCCAATCATAACCTGAAGCTCTTCCCTACTCTCCAGGGCTGTCTACTCCCCCACCACGTGCACATCCCCCATATGACCAGTATAGACCAGTATTCTATGGCTGGGCATTGCGTTAACTCTAATCTTTTGCGACTGCAGCACTGTCATGAAAAAAAACCTTGCATGTATATAATTTTCCACATCCCTGAGCACATGTGCAAGACAGATTCCTTCCTACTATCAAATTGCTGTAGAGTTGTGTTAAGAGACTTTAAAAAAACAAACACAGTGGAGGATCACCAAAGAGAGACTTGTGGGAAAAGGATACAATAGAACTTACTCTGCCACCTCCATTTTGGGAAGCAGTAAAATGATGCCAGCAGACAGTGGGTGGTCGCAGCGTGGATTTTATACCCGGTGCTACCATTGAGTAGTGGTGTGATGTTGGGCCAGCCAGTTCTTTGGGTCCTCCATTTGTTCACCTGGAAAACGGGCACAGGAGTCCTTAGGATGAATTGGCTGAGTAAGTCTATTTTGAACACCTACCATGTGCCAGGTTGTGGGTAGCGGGGATCTGGTGATGAACCAGCGAGCAGCTTCTCTCGTGGAGTGTGCCTGCCATCAGGCCACCGGAGAGAGGCAACACTAGACACGGCAGCATGGCATACTGAGGGCGAGCAGGGAATTACAATAGGGTGGTGTGAGGGAGTGGGTGGCTGGCTACCTCAGGATACCAGGGAAGGCCTCTTAGGGAGGTGGCATTTGGGCCAGCCCTGTGAGATGTAGCACAAGAGCATTCGCACGGAGAGCGGTGGGTGCAAAGGCGCAAAGGTCGGAAAGCACTTGGTGTGTTTGGAAAGCAGAGAGAAGGGCATCGGTAAAGAAATGAGTCCCAGTTGTGGCTGAGAAACCATGGTGTTCACCAAACGGGCCATCTGGTTTACGTGTTTCTCTGCCATGTAGTGGGCAAGGGTATATAAGCGTTCTGGCCAGTGGGCTGTGAGCAGAGAAGATTCCGTGCCACTTCCTGCCCCTGAAGCCACGTGTTGAAATGGTGGCATCACACCATGGTTGGCGGAGTCCCATCCTCCTGGGTCTTTGAGGAACCTGATGGACCAAACTCAGCGCCAACCCCCATTTGATGTGATCTGAAGGAGAAACAAACGAATGCGGGCGCTGGGCCATAGATGCCACTTGGAGAGAGGTTGGTGGCAGTGGGAAGTTATTCTGAACTATCTGAATGGACTGGATGCTCGTTAGAGGGGTTAAGTCAAGATGTAGGAAAATACAAAATTCCTGTTTTGCACGTTTGGGCTCACGGCTGGGAAACGCCATATCCTGGGAGAATGTATTTTCTGTGGCCAGTAGAGGGCGCTTGGAGACAGCAGAAATCGGGAAGGAATGAGCCCTGAGCATCCAAGCCTGCAATCAGGTGTGTTGGCTTTCCCCCTGGAAAGCAATTCGGGCAGGTGGCTGTGCCTCACCGAGACGCTAGGGGAAGTCATGAGGCAGGAGCCAAGTTTGCCTTGATGAAGGCACTCCAGGCCAAGGGGCAGCATACACACAGGGGTATAAGTGAAGAAATTGAGCACAAAATGGGGAGGAAACACAGAAAAGCAAAACATTAGTTTACAAAACATGTTCTATATGAGGGCAGTAGTTGGCAAACTCATTAGTCAACAGAGCCAACTATCAACAGTACAACGATTGACATTTTTTTTTGAGAGCCAAATTTTTTTTAACTTAAACTATATAGGTAGGTACATTGTTATTAACTTAAGGTACTCCTAATTTTGCAGAAGAGCCACACTCAAGGGGCGGAAGAGCCGCATGTGGCTCATGAGCCGCCGTTTGCCGACCACTGTACTAGGGTGTCCTCACCTTTGGAAATAATTTTAATGCTTCTTCCTTGCATAACTTTACTCTTTGCTTTTCCCAGAGAAAGTGGGTTGTAGATAGCATGGCGCCTTACTCTTTAATACGTTAGCCCAAACCTCCCAAGCTCCACACGGCCACAGCACACCGATGGAGCCCAGGGTCCAGGGAGGTGTCTGCTCAGCGGTACTTAGCCAGTCATCCTAAGAAACACCCAAGGTTTTGGCTAACCCTGCTCTGAACTCCCAGGGGAAATTAGTGAGGCAGTGTTTTATTTTATTTTATTTTATTTTGGCTTGACTTCCGGTTGACTTATCTTCAGGACTAGCAATAATTTGAAGATGCTGATAAAACAGACCAAGATGCTAGTGTGGCTCCATCTCAATCTGGAAGTCTAGCTACGTGGTCAAGATTCTTTCCTTTACCTCTTAAATCCCGAGACGAGGGAAAAAATGTCTTTGCGTTGTTGTTTGTTAAAAAGATAAGCGGAGATTTCTCCCACCCTCCCTTCCCTTTCGGCTGTGACTGACAACCTGGGCACAAAGGTGCCGCTGGGGGCCGGAGCTTGGGGTGCATTGTGGAAAGACCCCCTCGCTTTAGAGGGGAGACCTGTTACAGTCGGGTTAGGGAAAAGCAACTCATGGGAAAGTGAGTTCTGCGTGTCCCCCCCGCCCCCCCAGCTGCTGACTGCGTTGAGACTTGAGGGGGTCACCGGGCAGGGCAGGCTGGGCCTCTCAGAGCTGAGGCTCAGAGCTATCCATCCGCAAGTGCAGGGACCGCCGGCAACTTGATGCCTCAGCCTGGCCAAGAGCTGACCCCTCAGAGGGCTACAGGCTCCATCCTCAATGCATTGCGGGGTCTTAGGCCAGTTTATTCCCTATAAAATGGGAGTGGGGGTAGGGAAAGAGTGTGTGTTTTGCTAGAATGATAGCTGTGTTTTTTTTCCAACTTGTAAATCTCAATGGATCAGCAACAAGGAGCCCGTAGAGCAGCCCTAATGGGCAGAGCCAGGGGTGCAAATGGCCAGAGCAGCTGGAGGAGGAGCGGCCTGGGGTGGAGGCCCTGCCCGCTGGAGGGATTCAAGAGGGGCAGCTGGCAGAGGGGGGTGGGAGGGGAGAAGTGAACGGGGGAGGGTAGGAGAGAGGAGGAAGAGGGGGAGGCAAGGGAATCGTGGGGGTCCCCAGGCTTCCTGATGGCAGAGATCCTGAGCTGCTGTGAGACTTACTAGCTTAGCTGCAGAAGTCTGGCCAGAATCCTGAGAAAGGGCCGAGGGAGAGCCAGGCTGATGCCCTGGTACCTGGTCCCTGTGTGGGCACGTGGCATACAGACCTGAGCAGAGCGGGGCAGTTAGGAAGGGCCCGTCCTGAATTCAGGGGTGGCGTTGAGTGAGACTCAGGGGGCCAGGTCTGTAGGCTCCCTCCCACCCCTGCCCAATAAGCTCCACCCAGTCCCCTCAAAGCCACTCCAAATCCCACGCATGCTACTGTGGCTCCGCTCCCCGCTGCCACTCTGGGCTTTACCCAGACACGGGGGGCTCGCTCCCAGCAGTAGCGGTTGTCTTTCTGCAGCGGGGCCAGCCGCAGCCCGGAAACCAGGGTGCAGGACTGGGCTGTGCAGCTGGCGCCGCGGTCCTTACACACAGACACACACACATCCCTCTCTCCCCCACCTCCCACCTGCAGCATCGAAGCCAGCTCCCTGCCCCCTCCCCTCCATTGCTCTCGCCCTGCCTGGGACCATCTGCACCAGGGCACCAGCATCAGGCTTCCCTTTTCCCACCTTCCAGGGGGCCCTCTACCCTCGGGAGACACAGGGAGCAAGGGCACTGAATGAAATCACTTTAATAGCATCGCCACACTGGGGGGCCAGGGTCACGGGGGAGGGAGACATCCGCCTTCCCGTTTGTACAATTCTGCCGAGGTGCATGGCTGCGCCCGACCATCTTACAGGGTTTTCACGTTGAGAACTTAATAAATAGACATTTAGAACGCCAGACTTCAGAGACGATGAGTGGTGAGTGCGATGGTTTCGTTATCTTGCCTCCTGGGGGCCAGGAGGGGGCTCCCCGTGGCTCTGGTGAGGGCCGGGGCCCTAGGAGGGGTACTCGTACTCCTCGGCGCTGCGCCTGCCGAAGTCCATCCAGCCCATGTAGTCCCGGTCACTGATCCGGTGAGTGGGGTCCCGGCTCTGCAGGTTCTTGATCATGGACATGTGGCCAGAGGGAGCTGCAGGGGTGGGGAGGGAGGAAACAGGGCCGTTACACCTAGAACATCACTAGTTAGTTCCGTTTGCAAAGGAGGATGGTAGGATGGGCCAGGCAATGGGTGGGTGCAGCCTCTTAAAGGTATCACAGCGCTACGGAGGCGGTGAAACTGCTGGACCAGAATCTGCAAGAAGGATCCACGTCTGTGTTACTGGATGGAGGGCAGAATGTACTAGTCGTGGGTAAGGTTCTTGATCTGCAAGGATCAGGCGGATTCTGGACTCCAGCCTCTCCCAGCTGGGACCTGCCCAGCTGTTCCTCGGCCTAGGGGTGTTTTCCCTGACGCAGCTGGCCCTCCGCAGACGCCCACCAAGCCCTTCTCAGTCCACAGCCCCAATGTCTGACCTTCCCTCCCTCCCCCCCTTTTTAAAAAAATATATTTTATTGATTTTTTACAGAGAGGAAAAGAGAGAGATAGAGAGCTAGAAACGTCGATGAGAGAGAAACATCGACCAGCTGCCTCTTGCACACTCCCTACTGGGGATGTGCCCACAACCAATGTACATGCCCTTGACCGGAATCGAACCTGGGACCTTTCAGTCCACAGACCGACGCTCTATCCACTGAGCCAAACCGGCTTCGGCATGTCCTTCCCCCTTTCTATTCCTGAGCATCCCTGGCTCTTGTCAAGATAGTGTGATGCCAATATTTTGTTGTTGGAATGGTTAAAAAGAAGGAATCAGGTCCTATTGCTAGAGAAATACTACTTAACAAGCATTAAATTGAAAGCCACTTTATATTTTAAAGTGCTATTAAGAAAAAGGCACCGTCAGACCTCAAAACTCAGCACATCAGTAGCATCGGAGGAGGGTGGGCAGAGAGAGAGGCAATAAAGAGATGATTTAATTCAGTCATTATGACCACAACGCAATAGCTGAACCCGAAATGGGCCTTTGGGAAGGCAATTAGGTCCTTAGGAACAGAATGAGTGTCCTGTGTCTCAGCGCGGGGAGGGAGCAGGGATGCCTGTGACACCTTCCTAGCCCAGAGTTCCAGACAGTGGCCTCCTGGTGGGAAGCCAGGATAAAGCCTTCTTTTGTGCAAACTAAGGGGCAATAAACATCCCTCCCTCCATCCCTCCCTCAGGGGCCTCCATGGGCAAAGCCAAGGTCATTTCAAGAGTCAAGGGACAAAGGACCACTGAGTGGTTCCACTGTATTGGGGAACACTGTCCCCACTCCTTGTGGCACCGGGGCCTGGCTGGCATGGGGCAGGTGCACGTTATACCCCCTCACTCCCCAAGGGACCTGCTTCTCCTCGGGCCTTTGAAATGTCTACAGACAACTCCCAATGCCAAGCTTCTCAGCGCTGCCCAAAGCGGGCATTATCTCTTCACAATCTTCCAGCATAACATATACCACAGTTGAGTAAAAAAAAAAAATCTGACTTGATCTCAAAATATGCCAAATCAACAAAGAAACTGTACAGTGTTTATGTTAATAAATATTGGTTCTTTGTACATATTCTTCAGATAGGAGAGCATGACTCCGGGCTAAGATGTGTGGGTGAAAGTCAAGGTCAGTTCTAGGAAAGTGGTGTGATGACTAACTTCCTTCTCAGAACTGTTTCTTGGGCATCTTTCCTGACAGTGGGGAGGAGAGTCCAGATTATGGCTCAGTGAAGAGCCAAGGATATACCCGGCTGAAATGCAGCCCCCATCTAAGGACAGATATTTCAATAACTTCCAGACAATCACTAGGAAGCTCAAACATTTTCAGACTTTCTGACTTCTGATTGGTAGTCCACCTCTTTCCATTTAATTAGCAGGGAAGTAAAACAGAAGATGGTAGCTGGGCCCAGCTGGTGTGGCTCAGTGGTTGAGTGTCGACCCACAAACCAAGAGGTCTCTGGTTTGATTCCCAGCCGGGGCACATGCCCGATTTGTAGGCTCAATTTGCCATCCTCAGTAGGGGGCGCACAGGAGGCAGCCGATCAGTGATGCTTCTCTCGGTAATGTTTCTATCACTCTCTCTCTCTCCTTTCCTCTCTCTAAAAATCAGTAAAAATATATTAAAAAAAAAAAAAAGAAGAAGATGGTAGTTGGAACAATTTCCCAAAGAGAGGAAGAAATATAACAAATCACCTGCCCCTTCCTCCTGAAATCGCCTGCTCTAAGAGGCCCTGGTCTCACCTTTGCAGGAAACCATAGGAGACTCTGGGGAGAGAAGCCCTCCATGTCCCCACCCCCAGTCTAATGGAGACAGGAGGGAGGATTCAAATAGCGGCCCTGGGCACGCCAATGGGGTAAGTGAGCCTCCTGAGAGGGACCCCATCCCTGCCCCCCAGTGTTTGCTGTGGTTTGATTGTCCAGACCGCCCCACAGATGGCTGTGTTCACCATCGTGTGGATGAAGTTGATGGAAAAAACCTGCCTGGGTCGAAGTCACGATTCCTCAGGGCCCTAGAGATGGACACGCTTCCCTCTGAAACGTGGCACTCTAGCCTCCTCCCTCTTTAAGGCTGAGGCAGGTCCAGGAAAGGGACCAGTGGGGTGGGGGGTCCTGTAAGCCACTGAGCTAGCAGCCCCTGGACCACCTCATTCTGGAGAAGGACTTTGCTGAGGCCGCGCGTGGGGACATCTCTCCAAGAGCAAAATGACAAGCGCGGCTCTTGGTTGGATAATTCTGTTACATCGCCGCCAAGAACTCCAAAGGGCTACTGATTCTTCCCTCCCATTACAGAGGGACACACTGCCACTCCTTTTTAAACTGCTGCAGTCTGTGCTCCAGCGTCCCCAGCAGGGAGCACTTCCTGCTGGGGGTTTCCCAGTGCCAGGATCTGGCCCTCTCCCCCCCTCTGCATGTGCAGCAGAGGCTGTTGAATGGATCTGGGAGCCCCGGTTGAGTCAGCAGTGTGTTCAGGAATTCTCTTTTCATGTCTCTGTAATAGGGCGCAGCACTTTAACGGCAACGCCGGGCCAAAGATTAAAGAAAGCTCTTTTCAAAAGTTTCCCTTACTAATTAATAACTGTTTGCTACAAAGGATGTCCAGGAAACTGCACTAGGGGCGGGGGGAGGAGGAGTAGGAGGAAGAGAAGGAGGAGAAGAAAAAGGAGGAGGAAGAGGAAGATGGGGAGGGGAGGAGGAAAAGGAAGAGGAAAAGGAGGAGGAAGAAAAGGAGGAGGAGGAGGAGTGGGGGAGGAGGAAGAGGAGGAGGAGAAAAAGGAGGAGGAGGAAGAGGGGGAGGAGAGAAGGAAAAGGAGAAGGAGGAGAAGGAGGAGGAGGAGGAGGAAGAGGAGGAAGAGAAGGAGGAGAAGAAGGAGAAGGAGAAGGAGAAGGAGAAGAAGAAGAAGAAGAAGAAGAAGAAGAAGAAGAAGAAGAAGAAGAAGAAGAAGAAGAAGAAGAAGAAGAAGAAGAAGAAGAAGAAGAAGAAGAAGAAGAAGAAGAAGAAGTAGAAGAAGAAGAACCTTTCCGCTTCGCCTGTGTTTGCTCTGGACGGTTTGCCCGCCTCCATGGGGCAGACGCTGGAGGAGAGGGTCGGCGCCGGGCAGGATGGAGGGGAGGGGGGCAGGGGCGGCAGCCTACCTTTCCGGGCCTGCTGGATGTATCTGGCCAGCAGCGCGCCCAGGTGCGCGGGGGGCTCGCCGTCCCCCCTCTGCACCGCCCTCAGCTGTCTCCGCGGCGCCTCCTCGCCCCGCTGCGCCCCGGGGCCCTGGGGGGCGGCGGGCGGCACGGGCTGCGCCAGGGTGCCCGCCGCCAGCGCCGCCAGCAGCACGCACAGGCACACGCCGCTCTTCATGGTCGCCGAGCGCGGGGAGCTGTGAACGAGAAGAGGGGGCAGCTGCGTGCTTTCGCGGAGGGAGGGCCGGGCACCCCCGGGACGGAGAGGAGGGCTCGGCCCAAACCTGCGCGCCCGCCACAAACTGAGCACCAGGGCTCGCCGAGCGCACGGAGCCCGCGGCCGTGGGACGAGCGTCGGGGCGCAGCCGGCTTGTCTTTGGGGTGAAGGACACCGCCGTCTGGGGGCGGACAGAGACCCTGTCTTCCGTCCTGTTTGGCAGAAGCAATGTCCTGTTTGCTTCTACTCTGAGGGAGTGTTTGCCGAGGTCTCTCTTCCAACTGCCAACGCAAGAGACGGGAGACAGCGGGAATCTCCTGCAGGGGAGCTGGCCGAAGACAGGCCCCCGGAGAAGGTCGCACCTTCCAGACAGTAAGAAGCGTTTGCTAGGGGAGCATATGGGGCGGGGGGGGGGAGGTAGAGAAGCACCGTTTAAAAGGTGGGAGTGACAAGTAAAAGCCATATTTGTAAAGTTTCTTCCGGATGGTCTAGGGGATGGGCACGAGGCAGGGTTTGCAACAAGTCAGAACTACGGGCTCCGTCCCGGGGGTGAGCTCGGCTCCGCTGTATTTCAGATCCGCGAGCAAATAACACACACACAGCCCCAAAGACCACCGTTTAACGGGATGGACTTAACTCGAAGCCCTCGCGGTGGTGCGTCCGAATAGACTGGAACGAATAGACTGGAAGGTACCGCTCCCTCCAGCAGACAAACCCCAGTGCGCCGGCTCATCCCCGCAACCACATCCCCTGCTCAGCGCCCCCGCCCCTAGCTCCAGCCCCAGCCCTCACCGCCTTTCTGACTGTAAGACCCGTCCCTCCAGCTGCAGGAGAGGCGCACAGGGCACAGGACCACGGGTGCAGGGGCGCCCAGGGCAGACAGCGCTCTCCGGGGCTCCCCTCGGGGAGGGAGCGCGGGGACCTACCTGCAGGAGGAGTGGCCGCTGGCAGTTCTGCACGGAGCGGCGGGAGCCCAGTCAAGTTCAGGGCCGAGCGAGCGCGGCCGCTGCTTAAATAGCGCCGCCCGGCGCCGCGGGCCACTCAGCGGCCGCCCCCGCCCCCCGCCCCGCGCTGACGCCGCCCGGCCCCGCGCACGTGTCCGGGGGCGGCGGGGGGACCGCCCAGTGAGCGGCTCCTGGGGAGCGGGGGGGGGGGGCGGGGGGAGATCGGGGGAACCCTCCCCGGCGGGGATCCGGTGCCCAGCCCCCGCTCCGTCCCAGAAGCTACGCCCCCCGTGCGCCCTTGCCCACCACCTCCTGCTCCCTCTCCCTGGCCCGGTCCAGCACCAGCGGGCTCTCGGGGTGGGAAGCCTAAGACTCGGATCCCCCCCCACACCCGTCCCCCCAAGAGAAACTGCCCGCGTTTAGACGCGAGGGGCCGGAGGGGAAGGGGGGGCGGGGAGGGGGACGCTGGCCAGGGCTGGTGTCAGCAAAGTGCAGGGCTGGGCCAGAGGGGGTGTCGCCCCTCTGGGCACCCCAGGCGGCTGCTGGTCTCTGCACCAGGGAGCTGTCTCCCGGAGGCTTCTCTTTCTTCTCAGCCCGGGCAAGGCCCCCAGGCCTCCAGGACCCCCGAGAGCCAGGCGCTGGGTCCGTGGGGGCTGTACCACCGGGGTGGGGGCGGAGGAGGGGGCTCTGTTCCCGCCGCTGTAGCAGGAGGGGGCGCCTCGGGCTTGGCTCAGAGTTGGGCAAAGGGCTGGATTCTCTTCGGGGCCCAGTTGCCTGCCCGCCGGCAGCGCTCGCGGCTTCTGGTCGCCAAGTGGCGCCAGCGAGCGCCCCTGAGAGCCCCCTCTCCGTTCCGCCGCCCTGGGCATCCTCCCTGCCCGCCTTCCCGGTCCAAGCTCTCGCACCCCAGGCTCAGGTGGCTTTGGCTTTGAGAGGAGACCTCACCTGTCCTCACTGGCCCGCCCCGAGCGGGAAGGGGAGACCCCGAGGCGCTGGGGCGCCCTTCCCTGCGCACGGAGCCCCTGGCTGCTCCGAAGCAGGGGGACTGGAGCCAGCCAGCCGCGGGGTCCACACCCATCTCCCCTTTGACATCTGCTACCTGGGGCCAGCGTTCAGCGCCCCTGCGAGGGCTCTGCCAACCCCATTTCACCCATGGCACGCAGGCCCCCAGCCGCCCCAGCCTGGCAGTCCGTCGCTACCCATCCCGTGATCCATCCCATCCATCCGGGGCCCTCAACCCCTTCCTGACCCTCCTCTGCCTCGTGGAGAGAGATTTGGAGACTTACTTTCAAAATCCGGATCTGTGCTCACCTTTGGGTCCGGGATGGTGGGACCATGGGGACGGGCTCCTGGGGTCCTGGGCTCCACCCATCCCTCCAAGCTTGGCGGGGAGAAGGTGGAGCAGGGAGAGGGTTAGGATCCTGGGCATGGATGGGATTGGCATGAACAAGCACCAGCCCTGCCTGAGGCCCCTGCTAGGCTCTTGGATATGTAGACCTCACTACTTTTTAAATTTTTTTTATTTTTTTATTTTATTTTTAAAATATATTTTATTGATTTTTTTTTTGATTTTTTTTTTTTTTTTTTACAGAGAGTAAGGGAGAGAGTTAGAGAGCCAGAAACATCGATGAGAGAGAGAAATCGACCAGCTGCCTCCTGCACATCCGATGTGCCCACAACCAATGTACATGCCCGGAATCAAACCTGGGACCCTTCAGTTCGCAGGCCAATGCTCTATCCACTGAGCCAAACCGGTTTCAGCTGTAGACCTCACTACTAAGAAGAATGAGTTTGTTTCTCAGTGCAAATGAAGACAGGGCGTTGCCACCGGCTTTTCCCGGCTTGGAGGGTCTGTGTCTCACCAAGGGTGAGATGGTGATGCATTCCACCCCACACCGTCCTCTTGTCTCAGAAAAAGGACCAGACAAGGGCGTTGTCCCTCTGTCCCCTCCATTCTGATCCTGAGTGAGCCGGGCGGGCTGGGGCCCTGATGTGGAGGGTCCCTGCCTTCACTCAGGGCACCCACAGCCTGGGAACCACACCCACATGCGGCATTTGGGAGAGAGGAGCAGTGAGAGGAAACCTGCAGTGACTGTTGACCGGCTCTGGAATCTAGACTCTTCCATCTGATTGTGGGTGAAAGGAATTTTGCTTTTGTCGAGAACTGGGTGGAATTTCCAGGGACACGTGAGAGCCTCCTAATTTATTATTCATAGAATTTAAACTTGTTACAAGTGATCCCCATTTAAAGGAGGTCAGGGGACTGTTTGCTGTCATTAGAGACCTATTCGTTTGAGAACGTCTATTTTGGGCCTTGAGTTTTTTTCTCTCTTGGACACGTGTTAGAAACACCATTATTTATCTTGGAAGTTTTCAAAGGCCCACGTAGCCAGGGGCACCTGCCAATATAGGGACTGACCGGCTGGAAGGAAAGAAGTCACTGTGGTTGAGGTGAACAGCTCTTCCTTTTCCCAAGGATGAGTTTCTTTAGAGTCTCTCGTCTTAGCTCTCGTGCTCACAACAGCAGGGCTGAGACGGGCCTGTGGCTGCAGGAACTGCCTTTGGGAGTGACCTCATGGAGCAGGGGCGAGGGTGCAGGGAGAGAGGAGACAACCCGGTGCATGTTGGTGGCAGGTCACTGCTGTGGCCTCAATCTCCCGGGCATTCAGTGAGGTACCTCTTGGAACTTGCCCCATAACTAGCCCACCTGAGGCTGGTAGGGAGCCAGGGGGCCTCTCCCCACCAACTCCATGCACGTTGACTGGCCGCTTGCTGCTAAAGGGGTGTTAGCCTTCCTTCACTTCCAAATATGCCTCCCTGTTCCTACGGTGCCACAGAAAGCTTGGCCCAAGATGGGGGGAGGCGTGCACGGTCACGTCCTGGTGAGATCTCCCCTCCTGGCCTTCAGATGCCTGTCTCCTCGCTGCGTCCTCACGTGGTGGCAAGAGAGAGCAAGCGCCTTGCTTTTCTCCTCACAAGGGCACTGGTTCCATCGTGAGGACCCCACCCGCCTAGATCTTAGCCAACCCTAATGACCAGCCAAAGGCCACACCTCCTTTGAGGGCCGGGGCTTCAGCATATGAATTTTGGGAGCTCATGGACCTTTAGTCTGTGACAGACTGCACCCTGCCTGGACGTGGGAGAGGATCTCACTCTTTCACTGGTGTTTCTAAAAGGTGGGTGGACTCGAGGAATCTTAAATCTGCGGAGGACCTTGGAGGCCGTCATTCCATGGTCACGAATCCCAGCGCCACCGGGTGGAGTGAAGCAGGCTGGCTTAAGAGAGGCAAGAGTGACATCACAATGATAAATGTCCAGGGACACGGGTGGGTGGTACTTAACCCCACTGGGGAGCATGTGGGGGCAGCGTGGAACATCTTCGTCAGGGTTATGTCACCTTTGGGGACCAAGGGAGCGGAGGCATGTGTACATCAACGCTGGTCAGTCACTGGCGGAGGGCAGTTCCAGAGAGGGGTCATTAATTCCCTAATACCTCAGGCCTGCTGCTAATCCTTTGTAGGTACTCAGAGTTAGAGCTACCATAATTCACCTTAATTTCCTTGGCACATAGCAGTGATCCAATCAATATTTGTCAACTGAACCCTTCATTTGTATGAACATATCCAGGCACTGTGACTTATTCACTCGGCGCAAGGATTATGCTGGACACATGTTTAGTGATGAATTAATAGTGTTAACGACATAAACAATAATAATGACAAGCAACTCTTGGTTTAGTTGACTGCGTTGACAAGGCATGCCGTGGTGAATAAAAAGCCATTTGCTGGCCTTCCTCTGGGTCACTAACTCCCAGATAGCCACCCAGCAAATTGTTTTTAGTACGATTCCTTACAGCCAGGGATGTGAGAGCTATCAGAAATGAGAAGTCCCCTTAGGAATAGGTGACAGGAGTGAGAAGAGGTCAGCTCCCTGCCAACTGATCTCTATGCAGAACGAGCTTCCACTTTTCAAACTAATGCTGGAAAGCCCTCCAACCATGGTTGCCAGGGTAACGGGCAG